CCTTTGGGCGCCCTATCAGAAATGGGACACTGTTTGTTTTGTTGGGTTAGGCCCTTTCGGTCCAATGAGACCATTTCAGAGCCGGAAGGCTGATAGGACATAGGGGGAGACATTGGTCTGGGCAGGCACCCTAGTGAGTGCCTGCCCAGACCAGACAAATTTACAGAGTAGGTGGATCCATAGGAGATCTCGCCCCTGTAAAAGTTTGGTGACTCTAAGTCAAGATTTAGGGGGGTTTTGGGGGATATGAGTGCAAAAAATTTGCTAAAACATGTCAAAAGTTTTTCGCTTATAACTTTTTACCTAGTAAAGATAGAGCAAAAATAAACGCACCAGTGAACTCAGGACGTCCGTGCGCATCGAATGGTATACTTTGTTGCCAATTTAAGCGAACTCTGGAATTCAGTTGCCGCTAAGCTACAGGGTGTAACGAAATTATCCGGACATCTATTTCTTCGCCATATCTGCTCGCACAGTTTCTCTTTTAATGTCAGAAGCTGGAAAATTGGATGAATGCATACCTCTGGTATCTGCTCTTAAACTCAGAAGTGACCTGACCTTGCGAAATGACTCTTGCTCTGAGTAAGAGTCGAGTCGCCGACGGGTTCATTTGATAGTTTTCGTTTAAGGCAGTGGAGAGAAAGGAGTACAGTCTCTCGTTTCGTAGTAAGGCTACGTGTTGGTGGCATGGTGGCATGAGCCAGAAGCTGGTCTGTCAGCAGCTGGACATCAGCAGCAGCCAGTAGCACATCTGCCTGAGGCGTAATAAGCTGGGACTTGGTGGCAGACTCAGCCCGGCCTCGATCGCACAAGGCGCCCTTTGCCAAGTGGTGAGGAGAGTTGTCAAGATAGCGACAAGGAAACGGCACCAATTAATCCGCATACTGACTCGAATTCTTACCAAGGTAGATAATAAGAGGTCCCACATCATGATTCACCGTTACCCGCCCTTTAGCTTGGTTTTACTGCCCTTCAAACTGGAAAAGACAATGAAATTGACGGGAAAACAACCAGTCCACCACCTTTGGCTTCAGGCCAGGGCGTGTCCACTGGTGGAAGGAAGACACGAATGAGGTGACCTGGTCGGATGGGAAGCTGTTCGAGCTGCGATACCCGTTGAACCGTCAAATCGGCCATGTGTGGGCTGCCAGCAGCTCGAATGTGCCGGCCGTCGCCGGCGTCAAACATCCGGCCAAAATCCAGACCTGGAGCATGTTCAGCTGCTGTGTAATATTTAAGCTGTTCATGACGACACAGAAAAGCACTATCAGTGACGAGTATTACCGGCGCAACATCCTGGCTAGCGATTGGTTGGAGCCACTCAACCAGACGGCACAGGGTGGCTCGGTTTCTGAACGTGTACCGATACCTGATTCAAGCCGCGCAGTCTTCATACGGGGCGGCGCACCACCTTCAAGCCCCTAGCAGAATGAGAAGTGATGCCGAGAGGACCTTTTTGTTCTTCTGGGCTAAAGGGCTATGGCTTGGAAATAGTTCCCATGCAATTCCGTCGATATATTATGGACTATTGTCCATCAGGAGACGAATGAGGGGACACCCGCCACCAGCACCGCCCAACTGCGGGCACAGGTTAGTAAGGCGCTACTCTATATGAAACCCACTGTGCTGGAAAATCCAGTGGCTGGAATGCTCCAAAAATGTGTACCTGCGCTCTTATGAAAGGTGGCTATATAATAATTCAAAAGGGAAAATATCAGAATGTCTTGCTTCTTAATTACAGCGCGAAGAAAGATGTCCGGATAATTTCGTTACACCCTGTAGTCCAATTTTCCCCTGACCTTGTACCGGTTTTTGTGACCTGGTGACCTGACCTGAAAAGACTGGGACTTCAAATTTTCAAGAAAGGTGCGAAAATGTTGCCCCAGAGGGTATGCCAAATTTGACGGCACCATGCGCCGCCGTTTTTACGTTATTTGCGAAAAACCTTAGGGGGGTTGCATCAACCCCCCCTCGCCGGGCGAGGGTTAATGCCAAAATCAAAGGGGGAACGGTGCCCAGGTCCCCCCCCCGTTCCGCCGCCTATGAACTAGCTACAACACTGGTTAGCAATGCATCTTTCTTGGCATAGGTACAGACTACAGAGCCATAAGCGATTCAAAATCTGGACAGCGTCTCGGGGCAGTGGCGTGGCGAGATATTTATATTTATCTACAAGCAACAATGGGGTGAAGTTGGTTGAAAGTAAAATTGAAAGTTGGGGGGGGGGGGCGCCCACACAAGAGACAGGGGCGCCACCACTGTCTGGCCACCCCAGTCCAATTGTCTTAAAATAGGCCCTGAGGTGCAGGGTATATAGAACGGTAGGTGCCTTTTATCATCACCCTTGTTTTACACGTTTATCGCGAATAAACTATGCATTGGTTAGCGATTGCTGCCGATGTGAATACGACCTTGACAATGATGCAATTCCACCCGCTCCCTCTCGTCGTTACCCTCTCCTCAATTTCATTTTGTCAATTCTAAATCAAAATGAGCATAAATAGTACCTACATAGATAGGGGTAGCCGGTAGGTAGGTACTAGTCGTAGCGCCTGGCCACTGCCCATTATGGAATTGGTGTTTCCGCCTTCCGGTGCTGTTCTGTGCCAGAGATTAGGTAATTATAATTTCTTAGATTATTTAAAAAGCTTTCACAAATCCCATGTGTCTTTTATTTTCTTACTTTTTCATCCCGTGTGGCGTATAGGTGCAGCCCACCGCTAAAGTAATGTGACTGGTTTTACCAATCTCAACGGATGGCTTTGACTGGCGATGTTTTAGTGCGGAGTGATCGAAAAGAAGACGTCAATAGACAAAGTTGCAGCTGCAAGGGTGACGATACATGTAAACTACATTCAAAGTTTCATTGTAGTCTGGCTAATCGTTCCTAAGCTCAAGCTTCAGAAGCAGAACATATTCATGACTGAAACCGCACATTACTTCTTGCTGTGGACTGTACGTTTCACTCACGCACGAATGCTTACTCGTCATCCATGGATGTACTCTGAACGATTTAGAAGGCTGAAAGCAGCTTAAACGATTTAAAATGCGTTTAACTAAATGGTCAGCGGAATGGGAATAAATTCATGGGACGTTGTGTTAAATGAATGAACGCCCTTTTAATTTCACCTGATGCTGCGAAATCGTTATTACGAAAGGCACTCCTGGACCCCGCCGTTGTAATTAGGGTGCGGGAACTGAAATCGATCGCCCTGCAAAAACGAGAGGGAGGGGGGCCGGGGCAGAATGGCTCCGACCAGGGCGGTGTTTCACGGGCTGCTGCTACCACGCTGCTATCAAATTGCGCGAGCTGACGTCACACTTGTGGTAGTGTTGGAGCAATGGGCCTGTTGATGTCTCCATGGAAACCCAATTTGACAAGTCGTAAAATCGGCGTGCTGCTATCACCGGTGAAACAGGGCCCAGAAGCCCACTGACTGAAGGGCTGCGTTCCTGCTCCCGTCGGCCCGTCCCGTGCCGCCCTCCGTCCCACCGTGAGACAACACGACAGGAGTGGGCGCCCAGCCCCGACCGCCGCCCTCACCGCCCTCCGTAGCCGTTTTTCTGCGCGCCGCGCCTCTGGTCGGTGACCCTAGGCCGGCCGGCCGCGGCCGAGTGGCGTGTGTGGCGTCATCTCGGCCGGCCGGCCGGCCCTGTGACGTCACACTGCCGGAGGCGGCCGAGGGACGCCGGCCGGCGTGTGACTGCGCCCTCGCGGCCGGAACTGCCCCTGGGGCGCGGCTCTCGCGTCCACCGCATTCCCGGCCAGTATGTGGACCGGTCGGGCGGCCGGCCGGCCGGCTGTCGGCGCGCGGCGCCCACCTGTGGTGGGCCGGGCGCGGGCGGCCTCCCCTCCGCCAGCCGGCCGGCCGGCCACCGATCGATGGTGCGATCTCCCCGGCCCGCCGGCTGACGCCTCCCGCTCCCCCGACGCGCCGCCGCTCAGGGGACGCGCGGAGGACGGCGAGGCCGGCCGGCTGGCGGAGCTGGTGAGTAGGGCCCCGCCCACCGACTGTTGACGGCCGCTGGTTTGAGGGACCACCCACGGCCAGCCACGGTCCATCGGACAACACTAACCAGCCGCTACCACCCGCTCGGCTCCCCTCAGCGGGCCGAGCCGGCGCCGACACAGTGCTGTCGCGCCGCCCTGCCGGCCGGCCGCACGGTCATATCCCGTTCCCAGTCCACACAGTGAGTGAGGGCAGCTGATCCCGTTTGACAAACCTGTCCCGATGACGCTGCTCACGGAAACATATTTTCCTGCCGAGCCGGCGCCGCTGCGGTACTCGCTGTCCGTGACGTCATGCACATTGCACATGCACGGCGAGTTGTGTAGAGGCGGCTGCGGGTCCTTTGCCTGTTCGGTCACCCGGAACTCCGCTTGGTGACAGGAACCCTGGCTACCCTAATGCAGGAACCCTAGTTGGTTACCCTGGTTCGGATTGTTGACGCTCTTGAGGCCACACTTGGAACACAACACACAGAATATGTTGTCTCAGCTACTCAACAAACATTTAATTGGCCCTGTCTGTTGACCGCAGCGATCCTCCTGCCCTTCGGTGTTGGATGGCGACCGTTTTCGTGCACGACACTCGTAACTCGGGCACGAAAAGTCACCTTTATGTATCGCGTTACGGCTAATTACTGGTTTTACGGCTCGGCATTAGACACCTCACTGGTAAACTGACCTCTGCATGGTCGAGTGGTATGATTTCACTGCCCGGTGACAGATGACCCGAGACTGCTAATGACCACGTGGTTGGGTTCGCGTGTTTGCAATTCAGACTCAATTCAATTGAAGTTCGTACGTGGCGAGACAGGGATACACATACTTCGGAAGATTCTGACCTTAGCTACCCAGTATGTATGCGGATGAACTGTTCGGCCACTCTCATAAAGCAATTGATTTTCCGAGATAGTCCTGCAATTGTTTTCGGGTTGTGCGCACGTTCTTAAGCTGAATCATGAACCATTACTGACAGTATGTGTTCCCGTTTCAGTGGCATAGCGACGCCGGGCGGCAGCGGCAGCGGCAGCGACGTGGCCTCGCTGGAGCCGAGCTCGCCGCTGTCCAGCTGCTCGGCCGCCTCGGACGGTGTGGAGGCGCGGCCGCCGCTGCCGGCCCTGATGCCCCCCAGCCAGCCGGCCACAGGCGCCCAGTGGGCCCGTCCGCCGGGTCGCAGCCGCAGCCAGGGAGACGCCGCCGCGCCGCCCTCGCTGCCGACCACCACCGACCACCTGCTGCCGGAGAGGCCGCCGGCCAAACGGCGTCGGCGCGCCTCCTCGGGCGAGAGGGCAGCGCGCGGCCCGCCGCCGCCGCCGCCGCCGCCTCCGCCACCGCCCGCCTCAGGCACCCCACGGCCGCGCGTGCAGGAGAAAATCACCGAGTACTTCAGCAAGCAGATCAAACACATATCGGCGCAGGCGTTCCGCGGCATGAAGAAGGAGCTGAACTCGGTGAAACACGAGCGGCCGCTGCTGCAGCTGAGGACTGAGCTCGGTGACAGCTCGCCGCTGCCGACGGGCGCCGAGACGCGGCCGGCCGCCGACCGGGACACCGTGCTGCGTGCGCTGAAGAAGCGCAATGGGTTCCACCCGCCGCGCGCGGCAGACACGGCGGCGGCGACGACCACGGCGCCCGTGTCGACCGGCCGCGCGTCCAGCGAGACCAGTAGCGTCGACTCGGGGCTCGGCAAGGACCGCGCCTCGACGGGCGAGCCGAGCCCGCCGCTGGAGGCGGGTCCGACGCAGGTGCTGCGCTTCCCGGCGCGCCGGCCGGCCGACTGCAGCGCCATTACATGCTGCCGGTGGCGCGACTGCGGCGCGCGCCTCAGCTCCCCCACGCAGCTGCTCGACCACCTGCAGACCAGCCACGTGCAAAAGGAGCGCGACGCCGGCAGCCGCTCGGTGCGCTGCCTCTGGCAGGGCTGCAAGGTGTTCGACCGGCCCGGCTCGGCCGCCTGGCTCGAGCGGCACGTGCTCTCGCACGGCGGCAGCAAGCCGTTCCGCTGCATCGTCACCGGATGCTCACAGCGGTTCGCTTCGCAGGTGGGTGCCAGACCTGCCGTGGTCCTCAGAAGGTCCTGTAGGAACCCTGCCGGTCTGGTGTTGTGTGGTTCCAACTTCCATAGGTTATACCAATAATAATTTTCTGGCTTCCTTATGCCGTTCCTTTGCTTGAACTTTAAACCGAGTGTTATAGCTGATACCCATGACCTTCCCCATCCTTCTGCCATTGTCGAAGCCCACACCCATACCGCAACACTCAGCCAGATTACGGGTGCTCAAGCATTTTTCCTCTCTTTCTTGTTTGCATTAACGTATCTGCTGGTAGCTCCGTATTGCTGGCTTGAGAACTTGGGTACTGGATCTGATACGTCACTGCAGAGTGGTGTTCCTGTACCTAATATATATCTTAGTTGTTGATTCATCGTGCGTCAATTACATGCTGATTTATTGCTAACAAACAGCATGTGTTGAGCAGGGGAATGAAAAATGTGTAAAAATGTATTCACAAGTAACAACTGGGAGTGCTTGCAAATGCTGCAATTTATGCTTTATTCCGATCCTTTCCCAATATTGTCCAGGGTAAACACCCCGCCCTTCACACCAACACTATTATTTTCGCAATTTCATAATCTGCGTTTTTTAACTGTCCGCTGGGGTCGATTAAATAGTTTAAACTCTCATCAGATGCGCCGAGTTCTCTCGCTGACCACCTGTCCTCCCCCCTCGCTGCCCACAGTCGATGCTGGAACGCCACGTGAACCATCACTTCAACCCGCCGGCGCCGCTGAAACGTGCCGACTCGGGTGTGAAGACGGCACGCCGCAGCGGCCGGCGGGCACAGGTCGAGCAGCACCCGTACTCGGGTGAGTGTCGGCGGAGGGGGGACGTCGGGGGAGCAAGGAGGTGGCTGGGTAGGAGTGGGCACAGCGGGCCGGAACCGGTATAGCAAGGATGGTAGTCAGCGAACAGCGTGGGATGGGGGATGGGGTGGGAGGTGGGGTCTTACGTGATCGACTGGGAAGTCAGCATTATTTACACCGGTACAGTGGGCGGGACATCAGGGAGGGTGGCGGATGCAGGACGGGTATTCCACTCCACCCTTGATGACGTGATGGGGCGCGGTGTCGGCTGTGTCATCTTCAATACGACTCGGCTAAGCCCGCCATGCCAGTGTTGGTGGTTCGCCCTGCTACTAGGTTTCTGTGTGTCAATGTGTTGGCGTTGACATTGTCTCCGGCGCTAACATGCTACGTCTCTGTCTACAGCGCGCATATTCGACTTTTGCGACTCGAGCGCGATGGAGCGGCTGCGGTACCAGCTGGTGTGTGCCGACTCGGCGCTGGAGCGGCTGCCGGACATCACCAGCCGCTCTGTGCGGCTCACGGCGCAGGTCAGTGACACTCGGAAGTCGGATAGAACGTCTGTGGCTTCAATTAGTCTTTATATACCCCGGTTTGCCAACATTGGCCAAAGGTCTGGGTTTGTCATGAATCAAAGCTGCACCCTGTCAACTGTTCATGCAGTTTTACCGATTTGCTATGTGACTGGAGAGTGGAGAGGAGAAAAAAAAAAATGAACGATCTTTTCCTCTCCGCCTCTTGTTGTAATCTGACATAACCTCTAATTGGTGTATTCAGACCAGGTTTTGCTTTAACTGTTATAGCGTATTTGGTCAGGAAATCGCTCGCTGATATGCGCTGTACAGGTGCTTTGTCTGCTCCACTGCGTTAGGGCAGGTGTTTTGTGTTTGTCTCCCGCTAAGCTAAGACGGACGTTATCTGTACTGCTGCACCGTAGCCGGTGGGTCTCTGACCTGCCGTGTTTGTGCGTCTGACCCTCTGTCTAACGTCTGGTGTCACTGCTCTGTCCGGACAGGTGATGGCGCGCAGGACTCTCACCAATAACAAGCCGGAGGTGCTCGTCCATTGGGAGCCGGCAGGAGTGTAAGTACAACAGACTTTTCCTCTCCGTCCCAAACGACCCTCCCCAGGCCGATACGACCTTCCCTTACCTAACCTGGGAGCCGGCGGGAGTGTAAGTACAACAGACCTTTCCTCCCCGTCCCAAACGACCCTCCCTCTCAGGCCCACACGACCTCCCCTTACCTAACCTGGGAGCCGGCGGGAGTGTGAGTACAACAGACTTTTCCTCTCCGACCCAACCGACCCACCCTCTCAGGCCCATACGACCTCCCCTTACCTTGGGGACCGGCGGGAGTGTAAGTACACCAGACTTTTCCTCTCCGACCCAACCGACCCACCCTCTCAGGCCAATGCGACCTTCCCTTACCTAACCTGGGGGCCGGCGGGAGTGTAAGTACAACAGACTTTTCCCCTCCGTCCCAAACGACCCTCCCTCTCAGGCCAATACGACCTTCCCTTACCTAACCTGGGAGCCGGCGGGAGTGTGAGTACAGCAGACTTTTCCTCTCCGTCCCAACCGACCCACCCTCTCAGGCCCATACGACCTTCCCTTGACTGGGGACCGGCGGGAGTGTAAGTACGCCAGACTTTTCCTCCCCGGCCAGGGACCATTCACTCTCCTCCCCTCTGGCGATGTATGTATGTGGGGTGTGTATGATGATGTGTGTGTATGAAAGTGAATATCAGCCTATCCTTCCCGGCTCAAACACACTCCCATCCCAGGCCATGCGTCCCTCTCCGGCCCAAATGGTCCGCTGGTTCTCTCCTCTTCGGTCCACACGGCCCTCTGTCCCCTCTCCTTCCTTTCCTCGATCAGGTCGAGCTAGGGGATCGTGGTGTGATTAGGCCCTACCTCCATACCTGCTTCCTCTTCCTCCCGGCTGCTGACCCCCAACGTAACGTAAAAACCTCGAACTTGTGCAATGAAGTTGTGTTGACTGTTGCGCAGCACACTGATAAAAACAGTCGAGAAGTTATTCTCTAGCGTCTGATCTCCGTCGTAAAAATGAAGGGCTAAGTACGTGCATTTAATAAAGATTGTTAACTTTAAAAAAAGCTTAGCTTTGTTTTGATGAATGCGCTTACCCCTACCTTGTTAATTCCAGACTAGGACGATATCGTGGTTCCTAATTCCTATGCAAGTCTGAATTGTTATGTTGATTTTATCATATCCTTAACCGTATCCACTCCCTAATGCCTTAATTGTTTATGTGGTGTATTATGTAGGTAAGAATACCTTTCTGTGACTTCTCGCTCCTCTATATTACTTCTATTCTACTTCTCTGCTGCTACTGTAATCAGCGAGTTCACAATAGTTAGTCCCCGTGCCCTCGTTTGGTGACTGATGCGTGTTTCTCTCTTACCTATAGTTTTTGCTGGTACGCTGCTGCGCTAAGCTCGCCTAGATGGCAGCTAAGTCGCTGGACAGCGATACCTTGTTCTTTCTATTGTGGTGTCTCGTTTAATCAGCCATCTGCTGAGCTCCCGAGTGATGGCTCGCCAAGGTTTGCGTGTGCGTTTCGCAACCCGGGTGTCGGCCGGACGTTGCCGTTTCGTGTTGTTGTTGCCCCGCGGGCGGCGTGTGGCCTTGGCGGGCCGGCGCTGACTGTCCGTCTCCGCCGACAGGGTACAGGACGAGTGGCTGCCGGCGCACCAGTACCGTCCGAGCCGCCAGGTGGCCTGCAGTCAGCTGCCGGCAGAGCTGTGGCAGCAGCTGGCCACCGCCGTCGGCCGGCCGCCGGCCCGGCGCCGCCGCAAGCCGTCCTAGCGCCGCGCCGGCCGCCGCCGCCGCCGCCGTGCTCCCCGTTCCTAGCGCGCCCGCCGCCGCGTCTTCAGTACAAATGTGTCTCGGCGCAGCCGCCGGCCGGCCGGCCCAGACTGACCAGCAATGTCACTGCCAGTGGGTGGAGAGTCGCGCCGGGCCGCGCCGCCGCCCTGCCCGCCGGCGCTGTCCGTTTTATATCGTTTTTTGTACATAGTGTGTCGCGCCGCCCGCGATTGTGTAGTACAATACCGTCACTGCCTGGTTTCACTGCCATTACCCCGAGTGCCATGGCGCCGTGCGGCCGTCGATGGCGGCGGCCGCCGGCGACCGACCATCACCTGCCAACCGATCTCCAACCGCTCCGCCACATCTGCGCCGCGCCGCGCCGGCCCCTGACCGGCCGGCCGGCGCACCCGAGGCCTCAGTTCCACCTAGTCAGTCCGCGTGTCCAGCCGGGCCGGGGGGCGGCGGTGCGGCCCACTCCGCCCGCCGCCGACCGGCCCGCTGCTCCTCACCGTCTTCCATTCACCTGCAGACACGTAGACACCCCTCTGAGCTGTCGGCCAGACAGCGGCCGCCGCCGAGCGGGTAGGAACGCGCGCGAGTCCGCGACACCGTGCCCGCGTGTTGTGTGTGTCAGTGTACGTACCCGCGTGTGATCTCCCCTTTTATCCCTCTTGTCTCTAACGTCTTCTTTCATTCTTTCTTTCTTCTCCCCGGACTCCCACACTCTTATTTCTGTGTATTTCTGGCCATCATCCTTTTCTCCCCATCCGTTTCTCTCCTTCCTCGCAGTCCGTCCATCTCCTTGCCGTTTCCCTCTTCTCTTCATACATCGATGTGCGTGTTTGTGTGCGCGCGTGTTTAAAGTTTTAGCTCGTGGGATGTGAATGACAGCTCGTAAGGTGCTCGTCGCGGGAAGTTCGTGTCGAGGATGTGTGGTTATCCCAGTGACAACAATGTTAATGTGGCATAGTGGATCAGCTTGCAGTACTGCCCCTCCTCCTGCCAAGGCGGACCTCCTTTCAGAATCCTGATTACTGGATCGCTGATCTCGAATTGACACAGAATGGCTGGCAGGCCCACTGAGAAGCCACTGTGGCGAAATGGGGCTGCTATGCAGAGGTGTTTTATAAGTGATTGCGTGCATTCGTGAGTTAAAAAAGCAATATGCTGCTATTGATTGGCCGGCTCAATTCATATGCTCCCGTTTTATTTTCATTGATTGTTTTTGTTAGCAATTTTGTTAGTCATTCACTGGGCTTTGCACAATGGAGGTGATCACATTTTTACACAGGAACACTTCGTGAGGCATTTTGTTTCGATCATTCTCGTTCGGTGGCTTTCGTTCCTTTCCTTGCCCGATGACCGTTCCTCTGTTCCTTCCCACCGGCCCGCGTCCTTCGTTTCCCGTTCCCTACAGTCAACCGTCCCCGCTTCCGATCTCAACAGTGCAGCGTAATGTAGCCGGGCCGCCGCGCCGGGCGCAGGAGCGCCCTGTATCCTCAGCGGAGTGGTGACCCGGCACTCCGCCGCCACAGAGCCTCTTGTGCCTGACACCGGCATTGTGATCGCCTGACGTCGAGCCGCCCTCACCTCTCACACAAAGACATGTGTGTTACGCTGGTCTCTTTCATTCGAGGGGGTGTCAGACAACTCCCGGAATCACTGAACACTAATTGCTCACGTATGCGTGTGCGCGCGTCTGCGAGTATTTATTGGTGTGAGCCGCTACAGATCTGTTGCGGTCATGTGTGCGCGGCCGGTCCACCCCCGTGGGGTCAAAGGGCGTCGCGTCTGGGCCCGGCACGGGTCTTGTCTGTGTGCGCACGCGTGGAGTGTTTGTGTGTCTGTCTGTGTGTGTATGTGTACATAGACGGTCGGCTGGCTGCGGCCATCCAGCTCAGTTGTGATTATTCTAACTGTGCGTTTGTAATAGATCAGTACGTGCAGACTGTGTGTTGGAGGTATGCCAAGGGGAGTTGCGGTGCAGCCGATGACGGAAAGGTGTCGGGGGGGGGGGGGGGGGCGAACATTCACCCGATCACTCATCACCATCTACCCATCACTCATCAAGACGTGGGGAGGGGAGGAATGCGTGACAACAAACACTCGCCCGTAGACAGACGGGAAGGGGTGGGGCAACCACCACTGAACATCCGTGCATATCGCAATCATTGGCGTGGTGCCATCCGCGGACCAGAAAGCGAATTATCGAAAATAACTGACTGGTCACTAGTGTCTAAATCCGCCCCATTCAACGCACCTACATAACGATACCGATTTCACAGTGTATTACACGGAAAGGGAAACAGATATGAAAGGGAACATGGAATCAGCGTGACAGTTTAAAATCATATCAAAGACGCCAACCATCTCGCTCACTCGAAGCTGCTCGCCGCTACGCACAGCCGTATCCACATCGCCTGAGGCGCCACCAAGTCAGTCACTGGTCCGTCAGTCCTCAGTCCGGCACTATCGTCTGCCCGGGCACCACCTCGTCACCACCGCACTGCACCAGGTACTGTGTCACCGCCCGCACCACTCGCCCGTTGTAGGCCACCAGCTGCTCGGCAGCCGGCCGCTGGCACAGCTGCGGTAGCGGCAGCAGCGACAGACAGTTCTCGGCGGCCACAAGGGGTATCACCCAGTCGAGGAGAGACACTAGCTCGGTGGGGTCAGAGACCGGGCGCAGGAGAAGTTTGGGCACCGGTGGGGTACTGTCTGATACCGTCAGCTGTACGGCGGCCTCCGGACCGGCGCGGGCCACCATCAGCTGCAGCAGGCTGATGTTGAGCCGGTGTACCAAGTAGAGTCCCATCACCTCCAGTGTCTGACCGGGGCGCAGTAACGTGACGCCGTCACGGAGCGCCGTCACGGCGGCAGCGTCACACGGCCACGGCTCGGCTCGCCAAGGAAGCGTCACGGTCACACCCTCTGGGGTAGCAGAGACCGACGGCTCACCTTCGGCCGCCAGCAGCGCCGGGCGCAGCTCGGCTGCCGCCTCCAGTGCGCCGACCAGCAGTCGCACCTGGTGCAGACAGCAGAACTTGGAGGCGAGTAGACGCGCCGGCAGCCGACCGGTGGTGACGAGCGAGGGGTCGGTGGTGCCGGGCGCGGACGGACGCCACAGGACGGGCTCAGTAGGAGGCTCCGGCACCGGCAGCGCGGCCAGCTGCTCACCGAGCGAGCGCAGCCGGTCGGCGGCGGAGCGCGAGCCCGTGCGCTGCTCGTACGTACCGGCGCCGGACTTGTTCTCCACCTGAGGAAGGAGCAGACGGCACGTCAGTGGCAGAGCTGTCGGCTAACAGGGTGCAGCAGGTCGCCATTGCGCACATCATTCGCAAAACGTAGCCAAAATTCGTAAAACATAGCCCAGCCCTACCGATATGCTTCCACTCTCTCCCACGGAGTGCACACCTGGAATACCGTGTAGAGCCGCGTGTCGAGCGGATGAGTGAGCCGCAGATGTTTGTCTATTGGCGTCAGCCGACAGCGGCGCACATACTCTGCCACGGCGGCGCGGCGAACCATCTCCAGCTCCTGCCACACGCCAGAGTCGTCCTCGGACGCAGCGAACAGACGCAGGTTACGGCGGATCTCAGCTTCCTGCAGCGACTGAAACAGCACAGCGAGGGCAGCTCAGAATAGATGTCATCGATAGCAAGCTAGCAAGTCTGACTCTCAAGGCAGCCCAGGCATCAGAAAAGGCCTAACGCAGTACGCGCTAACACTGAAAGGTGAGAGAATTAAGCAAGTCGCATCTACAATCTTCACACAATCTTTACTTGGCCTTCACGCTGACACCAAATTAAAGAGGCCTGTTTACCTTTCCAAGACCGTCCAGACCAGGCACGCAGCCCACAGACAATCCCGTATGCAGTATTCACCTTGAACAGACGGGCACAGCTGACGATCTGCTGTATGAACGAGTCGGGTACATGCTCCCTGGCTAGCAGCGGCCGGCGCTGCCCGTCACCGCTGCTGTAGTGGCGCCACCAGGTGGTCAGCAGTTGGGCCGGCGGTCCGTCCGTCAGCCGGCGCCGACACACCACATACACCTCAGAGTTGCCGGCCTTGCTGCAGGACGGCTTCACGACAGATACCTGACGGGAGGAGGGGAAGGTCAAGACAGATCCATTGGGGCTGGTACAGCTGCCAAAGGGTTACAGGTGCTCCGAGTGGGATGGGGGTTCTTTGGTATATTGGTAGTAAGAGTCATGGGTGCAAATCACAGTTTCACAGATGTGCCGCCTCGCAGTTCAAAACTTATCTTCACGCTGTTCCATGGTCATTGGTCACAAATATTGTTGTCATTAGATAAAATGTGTCGAAGTTGGAGGGGACTGATAGCAGGACACATGACAGCAAGACAAATATGAACAATGAACAGCCTCACAGGAGCTGACAGAGTGAGATTCCTGACAGAAAGTCCGCTCACCTCGTCGAAGCAGCAGTTCAGCACGTAGAGCAGGCAGACAGAGGACGCCTCGAAGAAGGTGAACATCTTGATGACCAGGGTGCCGCCGGGCTGGAGAGTGCGCAGCGCACACAGCACCTCACACGTGTGGAGGTCCGAAACGACGCTCTCCTGTTCCGCCGGCTGGCCCTGAGACGGGGTGGGGCGGCGAGCGGCGTCAGATAGGACGGTGGCGCGGGTTGAAAATCAATAAAATTTGACTTCAGAACTTGAATAGCGGTGGAACTTCTCTTACGCCTTTTCTTCCGGGTTCATATCAAAACATTTAAATGAAGTGTCACCTAAAAAGGTTAGCGATCGCACTGAAACTTCTCATAAATGACACTAGAAATAATCTTCCATTTCTAAATTCAATAATATCTCCCTTTACCAATCCCACTGACCTGCCACAAAGTCTCACCGACCTGTCCTACCACTCCCACCCCACTGACCTGACAGTCCACACTGCCGTCAGCCGTGACCAGGTTAACCCCGGGCCCGGCGCTGGCCACCAGCCGCTCAGCGTTGGCCGGTACCAGCAGGTCCCCCGTGTCGTCGGCACCGAACTCCCACCGGTCCAGAGTTGGTAGGATGAACCGGTCGTCAGAGATCATCCGGCTCAGCGCGTTACCCTCGTAGTACGGGTTCAGAGTGGTGGCACGCCACTCCCACTGTGGGGGTAGAACGGGATGTTACCCTGGTAGTAGGGGTTTAGAGTGGAGGCAAGCTATACTCCCAGTCTCCCACTGTGGGGGTAGAGTGAGGTGTTACCCTCGTAGTAGGGGTTCAGAGTGGAGGCACGCCACTCCCACTGTGGGGGTAGAGTGGGGTGTTACCCTCGTAAAGGGGTTCAGGGTGGTGGCGCGTCACTCCTACTGTGGGGATAAAGTGGGGTGTTACCCTCGTAGTAGGGGTTCAGGGTGGAGGCACGCCACTCCAACTGTGGGGGTAGAGTGGGATATTACCCTCGTATTTGGGGTTAAGGGTGATAACACGCCAGAGTGGTAAACTAAGTTTAAACTAGTTAAGCATTATGGCAAACCAACCCATTAGCAAACCTTGGCTGTCAAATAGCTGTCTTTGGCAGCCTATTATAAGAGTCTCTCCTTGAGCAAATTTATGACGCTCCCTGAATGTCTCCCGCGCTGACCCGATCGCCTCCTACTAATCAATCCCGCTCCCTGGATGTGCCGCTATAGGTAGGTCGTAGGACTCCTTCTGTTTGCCACTCCACCTGTCCCTGTGTAAGTCCCCGAGTATGCAATATGAATGTATCCGTGCGGAGGCCGGTCACCCTCTGTGCTACGCATCTACCCCTGTGGAGGACGGTCTTTTCCTGTGAAGGTCAGCCACTTCCTGTGGGCCCAGTCGTTCCCTGTGGTAGCTGATAGCTCCCTGTGCTATACAAATGTATCCCTGTGGAGTACGGTCCCTGTGGAGTATGAAGGTCAGTCGTCCCCGTTGAAAGCACTCCAGCCGCTCCCGCGCTGCGGCCGCAATAGTACCGCATATCGAGCCATGAGGCTCACCGTTGCCCAGCGACCGGTACACACGCCCACACAGACACACGCTGCCTCGGCCGACCGGCCACGCACCAAATGAGCCGCTTCTGTCGGCCCGCCCTAATTCGACACCACCGACTACACGGGCCGGGTAAACAGTCATTCGCCAATACTGATCGAGCGCACGGCTGAATAACCTTAGCGACGGACTAATATGCAAAGCGCGCGGCACGGCGGCAGCGGGTTCAGTAGATGTCGGCCGGCTGTATATACATACAGCCTTTCATTGGCACCATAAGAAAACGTCGTAAACGTGACGCACGCAGGTAATTAAGCTATGGCGACCGGTAATGCTACGCTCGTTTTTATCGTCGACACTATCAATATTTATCAATATGGTAGTACAGTACCTGCGCCCATTGCTGTGTAATGTGCTCCCAAATAGCAACCACTTTATGCAAAATTATCTGGAAACTCTGGAACTTTCTTTTTTCAATAGAAAAATAGGTCTAACGAAGTGTTTTATATATTGAACACAAATCTTCGATTACCGCGTAGGTACACATAAACATGTGAATGAAATGAAAATGAAATGTGTACGCACCCATGCGTACGTACATATTTCACAAACTTTCTGTCTTAGCAGCGCTGGCAGCGCGAAACACCTTTGATTTCTGAAACATCCCAAACGTGTCCTCTACCACTCCAACGTGCATATTTTTATTGCCGATTAAAATGACGGGCTGATGGACAAAGCAACCAGTGAGTTTTTTTTTTATTCAGAGAACATTCTGAAAAGGTTTCTTTACAATTTCTGCTCCATATAATGCACGTCATTGTCCCACTTAATGATCTGACGCATGTCCTAGGAATTTTATTTGATTTCAACAAATCGATTCTGTCGATGCATAATTTATGCCGCAAGATGTCCCATAAATATTTAATGCAGTTTAGCAGCACTACAGCCTTCCAACTTCTGCACCACAAGTCATGTCCCGCGAATGACATCATAAACGGCCGGCCCACGTCGTTTCCTTCGGCCGTGGCCGTCGCCCTATTGGCGACCGATCGACCCCGACCCGGGCCTCCGCTGGGTACAGCGCCGACCGGGCAGTCAGTCGGGCGCCGTGGCGGGCCGAACCAGCACCCAGCCATGGTGCCCAGCCAGGTGGTGCCGGCGCCGACCACCCAGCAGCCGCAGCCGCTCGGCGTCGGCCCGTACACCACCGTCACCGGACATGCGGTGATGCTCACTCCCCAGCCGGCCATGATGATACAGCAAACTATACCCGGCTGTCCCAGAGGTGAGTGACCGTACCGAGCTGTCCCAGAGGTGGGTGACCGTACCGAGCTGTCCCAGAGGTGAGAGCACACAGGAGTGTTCGATACTCAGACTGGACTGCAGGCTAATATAGGGACACCCACTTGCTATGACGGACTTATCGTTATTGTCCTTTAGAAGTGTGGTTTGCGCAAGCCCGTTGGAAGCACCCTCTCGCCCTTCCGCAAGTGCAGGGCTCACTATCTCGCTCGCTCGTTCTTCGCCCAAAAGGCGTTTTACTGGTCAATATAACGGAAAAATCTCAGTATGAGCGGCCCGGCCCGGCCCAGCCCGGCCTGTAACGCTTTTGAGAGGCTTATATCTCAGCAACCGCTGGACCGATTGGCCTGCGGTCTTTTTTGTTGGGTAGTCCCATCCCTTCTACCCCGTAATTGACTACTTTTGATACATCTCAGTGACCGTCGTGGCACGTGCCACGTGAAAAGTCAAGGGTGTTCAAGCTGTTTTGCAAAAGTAGTGATTTTGAGAGGCTCATATCTCAGCAGCCGCTTTGGCGATTGACTTGCGATAATTTTTGTAGGGTAGCAGCATCCCTTCTACCCAAAATAGGATACTCTCGATGCATGTGGGTCACTCCCAGTGCACGTGCAAAATACAACAATAAGAGGTGCCAAATTTGTTCCCATTTCAGTAACTCGGTAATTACTGGGGCGATTTTGCTGAAACTTGGCATACAGGTAGGCACCCACCAGGCAATGCATTCCCATGTGTTGCGGTTAGGGTGCTACTGCACGTGCGCACGTGCAGGGGGCGTTTCCAGATCTCGAGAACGGCTGGGCCGATTGCGCTCAAATTTGGTACACGGTTGGGGACCGGTTAGTAGGGTGCCGTGCAAAAGTCAATTTGGACCCCGTTTGCACGTGCGCACGTGCAGAATGCCGCTTCCAGATCTCAGGAACGGCTGGGCCGATTGCGTTCAAATTTGGCACACCGCTAGCGACCGGTTAGAAGGGTGCTTTGCACAAGCCCGTTGGAAGTACCCTCTCGCCCTTCTGCACGTGCAGGGCTCACTATCTCGCTCGCTCGTTCTTCGCCCAAAAGGCGTTTTACTGGTTTAATTCTCTGAGGGTTCGTAGCCTGATTTGACCTAACAGTGGAACGGTTGTGAGGAGCCCTACAACAATGCTCCAATGCACTCCACTGCATTGCGTCGACTTCTGTTGCAGGCTTGGAGATTATGGCGCAATCTGATCAGCTGGTCGTCGAACAGAAGGTGAGATTAACGACGAAAGTGATCCATGGGCTGTTAAAGATAAAATGATAACATGATCTTACTCAGTTTCTGAATACATGTCAGAATAAGAAGACATCCAAATAATAAGAAAATTATATGTTGGTTGACTAATTACGCAGATTGCCGTGGACGAGCGGGAACATTACATTTCAATCAGCGATAAATAATCGCACGAAAGGTGTGTTCTCCATTATCAATGACAGCCTTCTGCCCGATACTGATTAATAACCAAGTACTAAACTATGTAGAGTAAGGCCTCCTGCGGTCCAGCAGGAGCGGTAGACTATATCCGGGCGCGTTGGGTGGCTGGAAAAGTGCATAGCAGACTGCATCACTTTGACGTAAGCCGATCAATTCAATCGATGTCACTAGCTGTTGCTCGGAGTCGACCATCGTACTGCAATCGACTGCACAGTGATCGGGCATCAAAAGTTACCAAGCAACCTTGTCCGCATAAACAGTCTGGCATACGCTGAAAGAAGGTTTGTTTTCCGATAAACAAACGTCTCCAGACAGCGTGAATTGTACGCTCCTCACAGCAAAACGTATTTCACATAGGATTTTTTCAGTCGTACCAGCAATATTCTGTCTTATCAGGCACGAGAGCGCCACTAGGCAGCCGGCTGTCCAACTGACCAAACCGTTGTTTTCCAGCGGGAGCTGCTGGAAGCGTTCACGGGATACGAGGTGGGCAACAAGTACTCGATAAACACTCCTTCCGGTCAGACCGTCTACTGGGCGGCCGAGGAGAGCGGCTGCTGCAACCGGCAGTGCTGTGGACGCGGCCGATCGTTCCGTATGAGAGTCGTAGACCAACAGCAGAGCGAGGTGCTCTCATTGGACAGGCCGCTCAGGTGAGACGCAGTACGGGGGACAGCCAGCTCGGTACGATATACCGTTGTGAATCAATGCTAGCACTGATTACATATTCCACTTGTCAATGCTCGTGTTTGGTACGCTGGATTCAGGGTATTGCTATCGATGATCACGGGGCCTCGGTAGCTCCTCACATTTCTTCCATCACCAGGTGCTCGTGCTGCTGCTGCTGGTGCTGCCTCCAGGAGCTGGAGGTCTCCTCCGGCGGGGTGCTCCTGGGCACCGTCACCCAGGAGTTCTCCATCTTCTACCCCAGCTTCAGCATCCGCGGCCCGGACGGCGACGTTCGTCTGCAGATCACCGGTCCCTGCTGGGGCTGCGGCTGCTGCAGCGACATCGAGTTCCCGGTCATGTCAGCCGACGGCCAGCGCCAGGTGGGATTGCTCACCAAACGCTGGGGCGGCATCGTCAAGGAAGCCTTCACTGACAGCAAGACGTTCAGCGTCCACTTCCCGCGAGACGCGGACCCGGCGACAAAGGCCACGCTCTTCGGCGCCGCCATCCTGCTCGGATACGTCTTCTTCGAGCGTGACGGCAACAAGTAACGGCGCTAGAGAGAATTCCACCAGCGGCGATCCTCAGATGGCAGGTGCAACAGGAAGGCTCCCTTCAAACTTCATTGCCAGCGGTGCTACATATCAGCGGAGCTTGAATTAAACCGCCAACGTCACTGTATTTCTATGAATGTATCAACTGGAGTAGGTGTTCGTGTGCCGTCTTTGTGCCATATTTATGAGTGTCCTACTAAGCGTGTGTGTTCTAATTTGGCTAAATGAAAGAAGCTTCATTATAGCCCAACAGTTATTACCAGTACCTGCTTAGCTATTACAAAGCAGTAATTATGTTCAGGGCGTTTCGGAGAATGGAAAAACATTACCACTTAGTCTGATTACAAAACGTTAGTAAATGTAAATAAAAGGGATCATGTACCACCGCAGTAAATGGCATCCATTCGTGGAGTCCGCCAAACGTTTCATAATATGTGGGGCAAACCTCTGGAACGAAATGTCTCAAACAGCTCTTCACAACCTCTTTTAAAGCGAGGCTATCAATATCGAAAGTTTAACAATGAAGAGAAGCATAATTTGAAGGCTAGAGACACTCGCTAACATGATGGTTGGTAATCGGTATTCACGTCTCTAAAGGAAAACGAGGGGACGAGCCAGCACGAGGACCCCGTTCAGGCGTTCAGCACGAGTAATGGTTGAGAGTTGAGGATTGGGACCCACCTCCTGGACTCCGTCCAGCACGCAGCAGTGGTGTTGGGACTCACCTAGTGGACTCTATTTAACACGCAGTGGTGGTTGGGACTCACCTCCTGGACTCCATTCAGCACGCAGTAGTGGTTGGGACTCACCTCCTGGACTCCATTCAGCACGCAGTAGTGGTTCAGCGCGGTGACGAAGGCCCCGGGAGCCTCGCAGAGGTGCAGCGAACGGAGCGGCGCGGCGCCCGATTCACAGACGGACGGCAGCACCGAGCACAGGCTGAGCAGCTCATAAAACTTGCACCACGCCTGTCAATGGGAACACTAGGCATGTAAAATCTGGATAACGGCCGCAATAAGACAGCAATGATAACACCAGCAATGCAATAACACGGTCAGCACGATAGCGCGGTCATAATACAAAACGCACATTGTTACCGAATTGAAATTTCGAAAATAGTATGGCTCTAGAATTGCTTCGCCGTCGAGGATTCACAAAAGCAGGCACTTGATAGTCGCAAAAATTCGAGGCATCACATATACATTATCCAAACATTGAGCTGAAACTTTGTCCACTGTAAAGTCTGAACTATTAAGTCTGATTTATGCATTATGTGCACAGACACCTACAAATGTTTGCTTGCTTGAAAAGTAAGATAATGAGTTACATTTTTAGCGAGCACGGTTCGTCGGAAGGTCATCTCAGGCTCAAAAGAAACGGTATATACCATTCGAAAGCTGACGGTGAGCTGAATCCAAAAATGTAATTTTTATCAAAATCGATCGATGGCCTTTTTTGAAAATTGCGTTTTTGTAAAAACTTTATAATTTTTTAATCAACGGGCTGTCCCGGGCATTCTTAAAAAATAAGCATGTTTTTTCGAGTTCCAGTGAAAGCTGAACGTCAAAAGAACAATATTTAGGAAAGCAATATTTCCTAACAACAATGTGCGTCTCCCACAGCCGACAATAAGGCGCAATCACGCAGCTCAGTGTCACGATGGACCAAAGTCAGCCACACAGAACCGTGAAATGACCCTTATCGACTCGCAGACCCGGCGCTCTCGGCCCGCCCGACCAGCCACGGAAAGAACGTTCGCCTCTCGTTCTACTAAACAAATGCCATATTTGTCAGTTTAACTGTCTACATTGCTATTAAAGTTATTCAGGATACCTGTGAAGAAAATGCGTTGTTCTGCTTGATTTACAACATGCTTTAATTTACATTTTTCTTATGCATGTTTTGTTCCATCCAGCTGCGCTCAGTGCCCGCGCAGGGGAAGTGAGCGGGGTTTCACCGTCAGAGGCTGTACTGGTGACAGCTGCTCGGCCGTGCGACCGGTCAAAGGTTACCCTGCCCCACCGGGCGCTACCCCCACTCCACCCGAGCTGAGGCCGGTACAGCCTCTGACATTTCAGCGCGGCCAATTTTCCTTATATGGGCATGATACCAAGCTCAATTGAGCAAAGTAGACATGAACAAATGCAAATCAATGCATGGTGTGAAGATGACAGAGCAATAAATCTTCTGCTCATGTATCCTGAATAACTCAAGTACCGACTTGAATCGTTAAACCAACAAATATGACGCCCGTTTAGTAGAACGACAGCCGAACCTCCTTGCCGTGGCCGGTCAGGCGGGCCGAGAGCGCCGGGTCTGTGAGTCGATAAGGGTCAGTTCACGCTTCTGTGTGGCTGACTTTGGTCCATCGTGACACTGAGCTGTGTAATTTCGCCTTATTGTCGGCTGTGGGAGACGCATATCAATGTTTGGAAATATTGCTTCGCTGAATATTGTTCTTCAGGCGTTCAGCTTTTACTGGAACTCAAAAATACATGTTTATGTTTTCAAGAATGTCCAGGACAGCCCGTTGAATAAAAAATTATAAAGTTTTTACAAAAACGCAATTTTCAAAAAAGGCCATCGATCGATTTAGATAAAAATTACATTTTTGGATTCAGCTCACCGTCAGCTTTCGAATGGTATATATCGTTTCTTTTGAGCCTGAGATGACCTTCCGACGAACCGTGCGAGTTCCGCCTTTTATTACACCCGACTCGGGCTGCTCTTCTATCTTTGCTATTACCATCTGATCGGGTTGCCAATAACATAGTCCCACCCACAGGCCATTTAACGCTGGTCACCCTTTCTGCAGTCATTGAGGCCACCGAAGATGGCGTGTCAAGACGCCATCCGCTGTAATTACCCTGTATCGATTGTTGTCCATACGGAGTAATAAAACTCTAAAACATGTCCCCTACCCTCATCAAATTACAACTTGAATTTAAAACAAGGATCCAATGCGACAATGAGCGGAAAACAACAGTGCCTAATTTGCACGTCGTTCCAAGCTCAATTGGTTACCTAAGCGGACCAACCAAACACAAGTGGCCCATTCCAAAGGAGTTTCATTGTTTTGCTTAGTGAAGTCTAGCCTAGCTACTTAGGGAGTTTATTTGCCTTATTGTTGAGTTTCATAGTTGTGCGTAATGAAGTATAGCCCCAGGTACTACTAAGGGAGCACGATAGGCGAAAGGCGACAGCACGCCCGGTGGCCGTACCCAAGGCTGTATAACAGGCCGTACCTGAGTACCCATCTCGGGCCGGATCTGACGCTTCACGCTGGCCACCACGAGACCGGCGCGGTTGGTGGCACACGTGTGCTCGTGCCACGCCACGATGTCCTTGTCGCTGAGAAGGGACTTGACGGCGTTCAGCTCGCGCTTCATCGTCTGCAGCTCTGTCACCTGGATGAGCAGAAAAGCAGTTAAAGGAAGACTGCCACCTTCAAAAAGTTTTCTCAGATCGGCCTATGATTTATTCCCTGGACAAAACAAAATTTTAGAATTCACCTGACAAAGTATCATCACGTGAATCGCGAAAAAAAATTGTCGATTATCATACAATTATCAATCGGTTAATGTCTAGCGACAATGTTTACACATCACTAGACTTCAAGGTCATAAGATTATTACATTTTATTTGAAAAAGTAAGGTATTTTATGATTTACTACTATATGATTTCATAAGAAATTGGCCATGTTTAATTTATTTTGCATTTAAGTTCGTAAAACATTTAAAAATCATGGCTCATTTGGAATGGGTCTGCCGCCCATGTTAAACCCCATTTCCCACACTTTTTTGGAAAAAATGAACTACTGAATATATAGGTTTAACTTTTATTTTGACACTCCAAAATTCTTCTCTGATCTCGAAACAATCAAAGTTTTGACATATATTTACCAAAAGATAAGAAAATTCGTGTTTCAAAGTTATCGATAAACAGTAGAGATGTCGGTTTTCTTGGACTAAAAAAATGGCATCAAACTGAACTTTGGTCTCCGATTTCTCGCAAACGGGTTCGAATCTCGGAAAACCGACTTCAGTCTGGGACATAGGTGGCTCAGCTCTAGTGAAAACCGTTTTGTGGAAAAAAGGTGGCAGTCTACCTTTAAAGTCTGGGGCCAACAAATCACACAGATCAGAATACAAAGTAGCACGACAATAAATATAGTGATGGCCTAGCAGGCACTGACTATATCGATCTCTGGGCACTCCACCAAATCAGAAACACATCGTTTTATGATTCGTGGAAACATCTAGCTCTTTAAAGGTAATTAACCGGCAGACCAATATCAAAATTCGTAAGATACTCTCCACGTACCTGCCATTCCTGGTCGGGGAACAGCTCTGCTCCATCCGGCAGCCGCCAGCCATCGGGAGGCCGCTCGAAGTCAAACCGCTTCCCAAAGAGTGCCTCTACCTGGGTGCGGACGGCCTCCGGGAGGTCGGCGGGCGGCCGCGCCGTCCAGTGGTGGCGCCGGTGGCGGTGGCTCGGCATGGTCGGCGCTACTGTCCGCCGGCCAGCGCCGCCAGCTGGTCCCGCAGTCGGCGCAGCTGGTCTATGGACGCGTCCAGACGGTGGCCGCGGATGTGCACGGGCGGAGGAGGAGGCTGAGTGGCGGAGGACGCCGTCTGCTCGACGGAACACGCCAAACACGGGTCAGCTGGTTGTGCCAACATGATGACGAAACAGATGATTGTTGTAACTGGGCAAGGCACATGTACATTAGCTGATCTTGCCTTTTCAATTATTTTACACATGCTTGAAGCCTGAAGAGGCTCTAACTCTAGTTATTGTTATTAATTCCTAAATGCTTACAAAAGGGTAGTCTGCAAGAAATTTAACATCAACATGATGGCCCAAAGACAGTGCTAACTATTTGGTAAGTCATAATATATATTTGCTGTTGAACAATGGCTGTGTGCTGGGGAAAAAGGTGGTGCAAATGGCTGACAATAGGCATGTCATTGAGTGCTATTGGTTTGTCACATTGAAATACAGGCAAATACTTGGAAAATCATTAAACTTTTGTCAATGATTCGACTCTGAGGTATGTTGATTATGTATTGGATAGGTATTTATATTTACCTCTCAGAATACACAAATGGTGTTAAATTTTCTAGCCCTTCCAATTCATATCATCATTGATACATCAAATAAACATTCATTTTTTAAAAAGAAAATGGCATTATCACCAAGAAACATTAGTCTAGAATTTGAACTGACCTCAAAGGACACTAAGCAAGAGATTTGCTTGTTTGAACTGTCCTCAGTTACAGGTCTCAAAGTTTGAACATTAATCTTGTCAACTGGGATGGCCATCCTTATTGCCTGAAGAAAGAGTAAAGACAAGTTGTTAGCAAACAAAACATCGCAAATATATCATATATATCAATCAACAGTAGCAAGACAAAATGTAAAGCTATGCCCATATACTGACCAGAGCAGCCAGATCCCTGATTATTTCACATTGCAATGCAATTGCATTGTAGTTGCACCTATGTGCTAAACTGTAAAAAACCTAGAAGTTAAAGATCCTGGACAGTTTGCTTCCTTAATCCTTTCTTTAGTCACTACCTATCATACAACATACAGGCTAGGACCGCAGCACACTGGCACCGCACACCAGACTTTAGTTTATAGGTACAGAATTACAGATACAGATACATATACAGGTATAAAATGAAATACCAGTCGATGAAGCCTTCAATTTTTGTTTCCAAAATTTAAAGACTATCGACTCCCATCAAACCACCCGCAAAATATTGACATTTTATTTGTTTTATTATGCACCAAGTCCGCGTTTTTCAATCCAAGGGTTCAATAGCCCTGTTTAAATAGGGATTGTTGCAAGCTTATAGCTCCGCACGTTATGTTGCAAAAGATGCCAATGGTGCTTTACAATTTACAAAACTATCCCCTCTAAAGATGCAAAGATTATTGCATCGAAAATCGAAATTATCGCAAAATAAATGAGCTAGAACACCTCGTCAAAAATGAAAATCATAGGCACAAACGCGACCAAGTTAGTTTGTCGCATACCCACAGCAATCGCCGCATTTGAAACGCATTCAAGAATATCTAAAATTATAATCGGACTATTCCACAGCTATCTACGTGCAGACCTCAACTGCATATTATTTAACCCACTTCCATAGATGTGCTCAATGGGAAATCAACCGCCTAGGGGTGTACAAGTCTTAGGTCGTTTCAAAAATGACTAAGGACAGTTTCAATGACGTTTAACTTTGAAAAGATTGATTCACATAAATCACAACACATAAGGGCCGTCATCAAAACCTATAAATCCATTACTTCACCACCAACGCACATGTGATTTGGTGACGGCGCACGCGGTACGCTTTGAGTTCATGAGATCAGGCGAGATCAAACAAGGATTTCTATGAAGCAAGGTCACTTTTCAAAACATCGGATGAATTCGCGAAGAAAGACACTATTCTGGCTATCCCCCAGCATAATAATTTGCCGGTGGTGGAAGAAGTGTCACGCAATATGGTGCTATTTTTCTCTTATAGACTAGTAGAATAAGCAATTATGTGCCTATGTAAAAACATACCTAATATTTCAGACGAAATGAAAAAGGTCGCCACAAGTTTGAACTGCCATAGCTTACCTATCGATATTCAAAATTAAAATTGGTGTGCTTTTCCTAGTTTTCTCACAAATCAGAAGATCGGTAGTAGTCAACAATGTCTGACACCAACAGCCAATTCAGAACATCAAGTGGAAAACACTAGTTTATTGCGGCACTGACGAGCCGGCCTGGCGGCACCGGGCGTCCATCCAACAGCCAGCGCCGTCACACACCACACCACACCACTTACAGCCTGGCATCACCGCCGCTCAGTTGTCACCAAGTCACAGCTCGCACGCCGCGCCCGGCCCACCGCCGACCGGCGCGCCCAGCCACCCGTGGCTCGGCCCTCCGGCCGGGACCGGGGCCGCGCCACATGCACATACGGTCGCCGAACAGTCGGCCCTGGGCTTCAAGACACCGCGCTCGCTCCGTCCCCAAATACACATGCGGAGCGCGCACGAACGCCAAGAGAACGTAAATGCTTGCTTCTAAAGAGCTACAAAACAAAGGAACAACAGTCTCTCTCTCGGAAGTACCGACCATACGGGAACGGTGTGGCGAAGGACAGGCCCGACACAAGCACAGCCACGCACGCGCTGGCGCCGCTCCTCCGCCATTCTGAGGTAGGAAGCCGCCGGCAGCGGCCGTCGCCGTCGACACAGCGACCGCCGCGCCGGCGCCGCCACACTGATCAATGGTGAGCAGCCGAGAGCGCCGGGTCACCGCGCCGGCGCCGGTCCGCTGACCGACACCGGGCACCGCTGCGACCCGTCCCAGCGCCGAGTCGGGCGCCCCAGCCCCACACGCTGAGTTGGGCGAACTCAGTTCCGCGCACTGAGTTGGGCAAATCCCCAGCCCCACGCGCTGCTTGAGCAGAATCGCCGACATGGGCGTGCCAAAACAACAACAGACAAACGTTCCGGCCGGCCACATACGGCCTGTACACTAGCTGTACTCTAAATTTACATTAAATTATGGCTCTCCAGCAGGCAGGAAAACTAGCCGAAAGAGCTCTACTTGCGCCAGTTGGACTTAAAATAAGTAAGAGGAGAGCGCATAGGATAACCATAGAACCGAGAGCATATTAACATCCCATTAAACCGGTCGCCATGTTTCCCTTCTATACCACCTTTCGGGGGAGGGGATATCGATAGTTTCAATAAGGCACCATTTCGGCCGGCGCCCGCAGCACTTCCCAATCGGTCACATGATCGACATACGCCCACAAAAGTTCAACAGCAAACCGGCGAATCAACCAACACGCAATAAATACGTGACTCGGCGGCATGGCGAACACTCGGTCAGAGATAAACGGCCGATTGGCGGCCAGACTCCCGTCGGAGGCGAGGGCCGCCACCGGATCGCGCAGCGGTACGTGGAACCAACGACCCCGCTTACAGCCCATCGTCAACAGTACTTCAATGTCAGGTCAAATACTGAACGGCTAAAACGGTCCGAAAGCTGCATAAAATGTAGAACTGCTGAAGCCAAGAAACTTGTAAAACTTTTCCCATGAGAATATCATAAAATATAGAGCGGTGACAAATGTCTTAATTTGGGCACCAGAGGCCGTTTCTGATCAGTCGATAGAATTTCCATACCTTGGCATACGCTGAAAGGGACCTGTCCTGCCATTCCCGGCGGCGGCGGCGGCAGCGACGGCCGCTCCGTGTTGCAGCGGGCAGTCGGCGACGGTTGCGAACCCCGCTCTCTCACAGGCACCTGAGTACTCGGGCAAGGCCCGGCTGCTTCACGAAGCTCGGACGTCATGATCCGTGTCCCACCCACGAGCACCCAAAACCTCTAGAATAGAATAGCATGATGTGTGCGCGTCCCGCCCCGCCGGCGGCGGGGTGTCCGAGCGAGCGCAGTGGACGCCGCCTACTGGCCCTGGCCCGGGTACGGGTACTGCGGCGGCACGTAGTAGTAGCCGGCGGCGGCCGGCGGCGGCGGCGGCGCCAGGTAGTAGCTGCCGTTCTCGGCCAGAACCATCCGCTCGCCGCCGCCGTCCGGCGGGTAGAAGAACGGCGGCGCCACGGCGTACAGGAGCGCGCCGGCGCCCGGCGGCGGCGGCTGCGGCGGGGGCGCCGGCGCCGCCGCCGCACCGGCGCCCACAAACTTGCTGAGACGCGGAGGCAGGTTGCGAGCTGGCTGTGCGGCCTTGGGCGGCCGAACGGCGGGCCGGCCACGGCGCATACCGCCGTTGCGGCCATGCGGCGAGTTCATGTCGCCAACTGGGGACGGGACGTCATCCACAGGTCAGGCATCAAACGCTCCATTCGAAGACACTGCGGTGAAGGAGGAGAAGCAGTAATCTGATTTTATCGCCGAATACGAAAAGCACATCTTTGAGTTTACGCAAAATATATGCAAATAAACATGGTGCACTGATGCACCGTACAAAACACTCCCGATCCGTTCGTCGGAAAGGAATCGGGAGCACGGCCGCACCGAGAGGGGGCACCCATCGGCACTAAATAAAGTCGAGCCACAGGGGACTAGGAGACTGGAGCAACTAGCATCACTGACCTGATTCGGGACATGCCGGGCCGGACCTCTAGCGACACTGACCTGAGCCGGGATATGTGGGACCAGGACGGGAGCACACTGACCTGAGCCGTCCACCGAGTTGCTGGACGAGTGCGAGGCGTTGCGGGAGCGGTAGCCGGACTCCTCGGCCGAGCCGGGGCTGTAGAAGGCGCCGCCCGTGTCGGCCGGCTCTGAGACGGCGAACATCTGCGGCCCGGGCGGCGACATCACCTCCAGCGGGTACAGGCCCGGCCCCCGGCCGCCGGCCGCGCCCGGCGCCCGCGGCGGCGGCGGCGCCTGAGCCGCCTGCTGCTGGTGCGCGTACTGCTGCTGCTGCTGCTGTTGCTGCTGCTGCTGCGAACAAGTAGAGTCACAGTGTTGTCATGGTGGACCACGCCAACGTACACATCACCAAACACAATTACATGGCCTTGTGGAAAAGCGGGCGAATTGCATGTCTTCGCACCATAATGTTTAGCTTTTTTTGTAGAACGGCCATAGCTTTCGTCTCTATTATTCATTGAATGAAAATCAGTGATGTTAATGGACCTATTGGATGTGGAACAAGCACACTGCATTTCAAAATGAATAAAGGAAACCGCTCGCAACGTTTTTGAGCGCCATCAATTCCTGCTCACCTCGTACGGCCCGGGCATGGCGTACCCGTAGAAGCCCGGCTGGGTGAGGTGCGGCGGCGTCTGGTAGAGCGGGGGACCGTACGGGGTCTGCGGACTGCTGACGGCGGCCGGCGGCGACTGGACCAGCACCGGCGGCCCGCCGCCCGGCCCGGCCACCAGCTGCCAGCCCGGGTAGAGCGGCGGCAGCGGCGGCGGCGGCGGCTCGCCGGCCGGCTCCTGGCCGTGCACCGCCGGAGACATGATGACCGGCCCGACGGGCGGCTGCTCGGTGGGCCGCGGCCCGGCCAGCGCCAGCGCCTGCAGCCGCGGCTCCAGGCCGGCCGCCGACGTGGCCGGCATGTACTGCCGCAGAGGGGAGACGGCGCACGTTACGTCACAACCGGCCCAGTCAGCGACGGGCTAACATTGGTAACAATCAATACGGGCAATAAATTATCGAAAATAAATTCAGTGCACGCGGTAACGGTTCTTGATATACAAATAGCATGTAACCGGCTAAAGAAATATCACGTAGCAACCAGCAGCACTGCCACACACACACACACACACACACACACACACACACACACACAAAACAATTCGACGCATTTTCACACAGTTTAGTATGCATTTACCCGACTTACTTCTGCGCGACATTTAACATTTAACGCGAAAGCAAGTCAGGATATGTTACACCACGGAATACATTGTCGTAGAATATATACTCCGTGGTTTCACGGATGGTTTTGATTGACACGCTACCCTTGATATTATATTTTAAACTGATATATGCAAATAAGCCTAGACTTCTTTTGAACAGAACATGGTTTAGCGTAGTGCGCGCGCGTCTCGCGTGTGTCACCTGCGGAGGGAAGACAGGTGATCCGACGAGCTGGACTCCGTACTGCTGCGGCGGCTGGTGTACCATGGCCGACAGGTCGCAGGTCCCCGGCAGTGCCACCGGGGACATGAGGCCGGCAGGAGGCTCGCTCATCATGTAGCTGGGCGCCGACCAGGCCAGCTCCTGGTGGTAGAGGTAGGGCGTAACCATTTATTACACTATGGCGTAACAAGGAGTCGTCGACTGGCCGTGCATAAGATGCATGACTCGTATGCACGAGTATTAATAGCGCAAGAATAGAATTACTGCTCAAGCAGCAGTGCTGCCAAAAGGAATATATCTACTTCATCGAAGCCGACTATCAGCACCTTCACGAATAACTACATGAGCGACCCAAACTAGCAGTGGATTTCCGTCAAACTTCGATAAACACGAGCCCAATAAAACCAGCCCTTCCCGACAGTCTAATTTCAGCACCTCCTTCCAGGTACAGTTATGTAAACAGATTAAATCCAGCATGTTCACCCATCAGATAGTCAACACATCAAAAAGTAATCCAGTGACCTCACCTGTGGCGTGCTACAGGACGAGTCTGTGTGTGAGAGGTGACGATCGCCGCACGACGAGCGCTCAGAAGTGCTGTGACGGGAGCGACGGCGACCTGCCGAATGAGGCAACGCTGCTGTCAGTGTCACATCTGCATTGCCATAGGCATGAGTACGGTTCTGGTACGGGTATAGGTACGGACACGGACACGGATATGTTTTAGTTACGGATAAAGGCACGAATACGGTACGATAATGCATATGTGAGCAGTGAGCAGAGTGCAGGCGAGCATGACGTATTACGACCACCATGACGACCCAGCGGTTCCTCCCGGTTACAGCTCCCGACATTATGACCAACTGACTACCCAAAGCCTGATGTTTGGTATGCACTCACCCGGTGTCCTGGCGCGCGCACTGCCCGGCGATGGTGACACTGGACAGGGTACGGGCGTGGAGCAGAGCGGCCGCAGGCTGGCGTACGGCACCGTTAGCCTGGAGAAAACCCAAAATATTAGCACATAGAGACACATAGGCACACACACACAGAGACTGGCATACGGCAACTTCAGTGACTCTAGAGATACACACCAGCACGTCAGCACACACAGACAGACTGGCTGTAAGTCTGGAGATACACACCGACACGTCAGCACACATAGACAGACTGGCTTAGGCAGCGTCGGTCTAGGGGTACCCCGGTGCGCTATTACACACTTACGCACACAGAAACGCAGGCTTACTCTTTGCGCAGCAAGGGCGTACAAATATGCTACAGTGGAAATGCCAGCTCAAATTATTATTATGGTAAGAGTTTGGCGTTTTGCTAATGTCGATTAATAGCCCGTTTTTTTTTTTCTTTAATCAGCGAAATAAGCTTTATACCATCCTTGTATACCAAGGCCCAAGTAGGGGCAGCACTCACTTTCTTCCGAGCGGCTCGACGAAGCAGCAGACGGGTCCCTGGTTGGGCGACATCTCCTGGATGTGCGCCACGTACAGCGTGGAGCCCGTCTCGGAGAGGTGCCGGTACTCTGGCCGCGCCTCCGACTCGAGCTGCGCCAGCTCGTCAGCCGGCAGCACCTGGCCCAGCTCCACCAGACACTTGATGCCGGCCAGAAAGCCGTTACAGTCGGGCCGCTGCTGCTCCCGACGACGCTCTGTTCGTGCGCGCGGGGACAGGTGGACGGCCGTGGTCACATAACGTACGGAGAGCACAGCTAGCCGCTACTAGTCACCACACAGCTCCCAAAGAAATAATGATGATATTTACTTTGTTGATTGAAAATTTACTGAATGAAAATTTACTCAATGAAATATTTACTTTGTAAATTTGTTCTTTCACGGTAACAAACGCAAATAGAGAACGAAATAAAACCGAGGCGGAAAACAAGCGACCGAGTGAGAACGAGAGAAATATAAAGAGACAGAGAAAAAGACAAAAAGAGAAAGATAGCGAGAAAGAGACAAGGAGAAAAAGGAGACAGAGAAAGAGAGAAACAGGGAGCTGGTCCACCCTTCCGTGCGAGCACCTGAGGAAACATACTTTTTCTTTGTTCCGTACATGCCGAGCAATTAGTTACTAAACAACGAGACAGTCCTAGCCCTGTTGCATGCTTATCATTATAAGTGACAAGTGTGCTGACACGGCATCCAGACCAGGAGAAACTTAACAGCCTAAGAAAACAATCTGGGGCCCGACAGCCGGCAGTGAGAATGTGAACCATTAGCAGCGCGTCCCTCCGGTCTGACCTTTGACCAGCTCGGTCCAGACGTCCTGCGGCAGGTTGCGGTAGTGCGTGCCGTCCAGCGCCTTGGCCGTCTTGTACGGGAACGGCACCATGTTGCGGTCCAGGATGTCCATGACGTCACAGGGCTCCTCGTCCGATGTGGCGTACAGACCGCCGCTCCTGCCGGGGAGAGTGGCGCTCCGGTTAGGTGGCCAGTGATAGCTTCATAAAGAGCGGGAGAATGCACGCACACTGTCGAGCCAGAGCCACCACATGGCACCTCATGTGCGCCACACATCAAAACCTGCGGCACCACAAGCGCTGCACCAGAGCCTTAATACAGCCAAATTTTGGGTACTGTAATGGGACACGAGTACGGAGTACCACAGTATAAAATTAACACGTGAAACTTGTTGCTTTTTCCTCTGACCAACTCCAAGCTCTTCATCCTTATCTGTCGGCGTCCCGCCCCTCTCCTACCTCCAAAGTATGTCCTGAACTCCTGTGCCCGTCCGCTTTCCATATCACACCCGCACTAACCCACTCGACGTCTCGTGCTCGGGCGAGTCGGACATCTTGCCAATGATGGCGGCCAGCGCGCCGTCCTGACTGCACAGGCTCTCCTTGCGCGTTCGGGCGTACTCTTTGTCATAGAGCATCTTGTCGACGGCGTGCTCCACGTTGTGGAGGTTGTAGACGTTTGTATAGAGCGTGTGATACACCATCGCTGTACGGAGCAAAAGGCACCGTTAGCGTCGCATATGCGGGAGATGCGCATTGGCGGCGGCGGATTAGGATCCTCAGAGCCCAGTCAACCCGTCTGTGTCTACGACGAATAATCGAACCACCAGAGAGTTACATTAGTAAAAACAGCTATGAAATGAATTCAAGTCATGCAACACCATAAAAAATCGCCCTAGTATGTGACTTAAACAGAATATAGCTTGCTGATTGAAAACCGCAGCGGGAGGCACCAGCGCGGTACGGGTGAGCGTCGCAGGAACTACCACAAGCCAAGGACTCGTCATGGCCCGCCCAGTAAATAACCATCGAAAGGGGGCAATTTCGAGCGCCGCCGCCGGCCACCTACACTGTCCCATGGCGCGGTCGGTGGCCTCCTGTTTGCTGATGACCAGGTCGTAGTGGCTCGAGTCGCCGCCAGCCACCTGGATACGCTGACTAAATCCGCGACACGTCACATTTGTAGGCGGCTGGTCGATCTCACTGTATAGCCAGAAGTCGTGCCTGCCGCCACAGCAGGGTAGTCAGTGGTCAGAACCACCCCGCACACCAGTGCAATAGCCGGGAGACGAGCAGATGTGGTCGAACAGCTCAGATATAATGCAATGAGAATCACTTATATGGACTCAGTGGTGGTATCGAATGGCCGTAATGAGCTAAATTAATTCGATGAAAAAACGAAACACCTTTGTTCAAGTCATCCAGCCTCTCATCTAGCCTTGTTGGCCATAACTGGCTTGGTTATAACAACGCATTAGTAGGTCAGCTTTAATCGGTTGTACGGAAACGTTCGTGGCGTTTATTGCCATTCAACTAATTGATTGTGCATCCGGAATTCCCGAGGCAGCCGGGGCCAGCTCTGCCAGCCGGCCAGGAGGTGGGTCGTACCGTGTAATATCAGCCAGAGCCAGCATCTCAGCCAGGCCCGCGGCGGTGCGCCCCTCGCGCAGCTTCAACACGTGCTCCTCCATGGGCTCGGCGGTGTGCTGGGGAGTGGACATGGCGGGACGTCAGCCGACAGGGTGTAGTTGGGACCAGACGTCAAACGGTGAATGACGTCAGACGTTAGGCGGTGACGTCAGCCGAATAGCAGCGCCAGGACAGTCATTCGCGTCCATTGGTCACTGACAGAGGCACGAACGAGCATATCCTATCTGACCAGAGGCCCGATAACTTGGGAACAGAAGTGGGCCAAATGAGGATCCCTGGAAAACCCCGGTAAAATCAGATATGCGCTGCTAACATTAGTCATCAGGCGACATTGAAAACGTTATGAATCACCAATGCAAACACGTTTGGCTGGCATGTGTGACTACAACCGGCAGTGACCTAAGAAAAAGAATCGAAAGGCAATCGGATATCATCCCAACCGAATCTTGTAACACAGGTGTAGGGCGAACTCATTTTTCAATACACATACCTGAGAGTACTTCTCCGGAGTCAAAAGAAGTCTTTGGCACGTCATCTTCTTGAATCTCGGATACTCCGTTTGTGTAAAACATAGCTGAAACGGATTGGGTGAAAGCAAGTATGAAAAGCAGCTCGCAATGCCCACAATCATCTTCACAACTCATCAAGAACACGCAAAATTTGCAACTTTACAAAAAAAAGGCAGAACAGAAGGCGCTCGAGCCAAAGCAAAATGAAAGCCCGGCATAACCAGCTAAAGATACGCTAGTTATGCCGGGCTTAGCAAATACAGAACCTACAACAGACAACCCATACGAATATCTGTGGCGACTAGCGGCCCGATGGCAGGCGCGTCACCGGCAGCGGCCCCCAGCTGACCTGTTCAGAGACGATACGGAAGAGCGGCTCCTGCGGCGGCACCTTGAGCCGGTACAGGCCCAGGTGCTCCAGGTAGGTGTCGATCGGGCCGCGACTGGACGGTCGCCGCGCCATGCTGCCGCTGAGTGCCCGCACCGCGCGCCGGTACAGCACCAGCTCTGCGCGCGGCGCACACACAAGGCCACACGTCAGACCGGACCTCGGCACCCATCAACACGGGCAATCAGCACACATCTCGGACACATGACGAGTGTGGTTCTGCTTTACAGAATGAAATTAAAACGTGTTGGAAATTTATATCAGAGCAGCCAGAGAACGACCAAAAGGCATATAATTCCTTGATACCGTTCTGTAACACGTCTGACCAAACTGAGAAGCTGTCCAGGCAAGCAGGTTCGGTCCATGGGAAATGTTCCGTCTGTAACCCGTCACTCAGCTTTGGCAGGTCTCCAGCGCATCTTGAGAACGGATTCAAATAGCAAATATTGAGCACCGAATTAGATGCTCTTATTTTGACTTTGACCTGAGTAGTCGGAGTCAGAGTCGATCGAAGTCAAGACTTATCGCCGTAGACTGACTCAGGCCCCGAAATCGTACGTACCAATACGAGACGCAGCGATTGATCATCAAATTTCAGGTCCCAGACCAGCCGGTGACCTTTGAGATCAAGTCAAAGACCCCGAAATCGGGGACCGGGGTGCAACTTTTGGTAAATAGGTACCTTGGCAGTTGGCAAAAAAAAAATGGTCGCGTTGTTGCAATTTTGGCCATATTGTTGCGTTCGGGTTTGCCACGCGTGCATCTGCGTCGAATTAAATGCGTTCTGCTTGTGAAAGGTGACAAGGTCAACAGAGGTGTTGACTGTCAGTGTCGTTAAAGGAAATAGTTCACTTTTAACATGGGATTTTGAACTGGAATAGCAGTTTCGTAGCTTGAGCTGAGACTAGCACAAATTAGGAGCTTTTACGGCTCAACGATCACCCTAGACGAAGATATTCCATTTCTCGTTCCGAAAAGAGTGCCTTGCAGAGGAATGTGTGCCTTGCACAGGAATGCAGCCACGTCATCGTCAGCCAATCAGCATGCTGCTTACAGCTAATGCAGCATGCGTAGGTTTGAACTACGCAATATGATTGGTCAACGCGTAATAAGCTTCCGCGTCAATCATTATTTTACATAGAATATAGTTCGTCCTATATTAAAATATAGAAAATAATTTTTCTACAAAAAGGTTTTATTTTATTTTCTGATCATTTTGAGCATAAAAAATCGTAAATCCATAGCAAAATACTAATTTCAGGAAAGTGAATTGTTTCCTTTAACAGGGGTGTTGACTGTAGACTTACGTTCGAGGTCTAGTCCTAGCCGGCCGGTCAGGAAGTTGGTCCGGGGAGGCCACACTCAAACTTATTCGAATAAATAGCTCAATTTGAATCCATAGCTGGCTTTCTAGGCCTGCTAATTCGATTTCGTTGAGAATTTTTAGCGAAAGGTTTCGATGACCTCTAATGACCTTAATGACGTGACGTGTGTTTCGTCACACACGGTCCAAAATGTTAAAACTACGCATCAAACCCGAACATGACTTGAATCAAACCGATCCTTTTGGGACTTCCGCTTCAACTCCGACCAAAATTGATGACACCGACTCCGGCTTCGCAACCTTGTGACAAGTGGGTGTAGAACGTATGTTTTTGATGTTCAAGCTTGTGCTGGAAGCCCGTGAAGGAAAATCTCGTCCAAGCCACGGCGATATTTAAACCTTGCCCGTATTGGTGTTTTGCCAGCCGCAAACGTATAAGGGGGGGGGGGGTCCGTTGGACCCCCTTGCCATTTAACCCCTGATGGAGCTAGAGCTTCGCGGAAAAAACGAGCGAGCTCGTGACGAGAGGAAGCCGATGCTACCCAATTTTAAGGTCCTAAGTCATTTCTTGACCTTCCAGGTCAGGTCAATGGTCCAAAAAGTCGGGAAAATCGGGACCTGTTACAACGTCGTAAAGTGTGGCTGCTAAGGGGGTTTTCGGGGTGCTGAGTGATTACGATTATCATGTCAGTTTTGATTACAAATGATGTCTTCGGGCCTTTAGGCCAGGTCGGGTCAGGCCAGGTCAGGTAAACCAGTAGTGGTCCTACCGGGTATTCGAAGTAGGTGTCAACCGCCTCTGATGTTACGAAGGCACCAAAACAACTTCGTACAGAATGTTCAAATAGGTTCAAATGGCTGATTAATTCGAATTCAGCTCCAAAAACTAGCCAAGAAACATGTAAAACCCGAAAAAGTGAACCGAGGTCAGCGAAGGTCAATGACCTGACCTGACCTTCAGGTGACCTTGACACCCACCCTAATGCATAAGAGCAACAGCATATCACATGTCTGAACGCTTGAACTCACGAACAGACTGGAAACGCACGGCTAATGCGAGCCAACATACGCCGAGTTGCGATTCCGGCCAAACATGGTCTCGAGAAATAGGTCACGGGTCAAAGGTCATTTGGGTCAGGGTCATGAAATTTTCAAGGTAGGTGCAAAATTGATCAACTCGAGGGTAATGTAAGTTTCGTCGGGATCAGCCGCTTTTTACGCCAGTTATTCCTGAAAAACGAGGGGTACGTTCGACCCCCCCCCCCCCCCATACGGGCGAGACCTAAGACGACCTAGTGAACGGGAAAGGTGAAGAAAGATCCCGTGCCAGAGCCCGCTCGCAGTGCAGTTAGCGAGTTTTTTATTTTGAGTTGTAATTTAACTCACCGCGGCCAATGGGGGAAGTTGTTGCCACCCCATGGAGGGGCATGGAAAGTACAACGCCTGGGCCTCTTGGCCCGTAATATCTGGGGAGGAGAGGGTAGGGGTAGGAAATATGGATACCGATGAGAAACCGTTTCTCAGAAAAACTGCAATGTTCCTTTAACAAAATTCTGCTCTAGTCTAAGATTGATCAGCCAATTATCTAACTCCCGACCTGGTGGCGGTCTCGGCCAACTTCGCCACGGTGAGGAAGGGGGGGGGGGGTTAAGCACACGTCGTCAGCCGGCCGCCCAAACGCCAAAACCAGCGAGGGTTTAACGTTAAGCTCAGCACATGAAAATGACTGGAAAACTCCTGTGACTTGCGATAGAGGTTTATATGCCGACTGCCACATCTGTGTACTGAGCTAGGGAGCAGCATAGAAATTAATATCAAGTGATCTGTACATATTACAGAAACACAAACACAGCACAAGAAAACTGAGACCACTTCATGCCAACCAAGAAATAGCAGGAACAGGGACAGATGCAGGGCAGAACCATTTTTTGTGTCCAATATATAGCTCAGCTCCCAAGCCACATACATTATACACCATTGCATGGAGGGATTACTAAAGAACATTCAATAATAAAGACAAAGGCCCTCAAAACATTCCAATGACAGTGCAAAGATCAGGCAATCAGGACTAAAATGGGATTATCCTACAAACATTCTGTTTTTGAAATTATGACACAGATACATTAGATTGAGAGGTGTACAACTGCCTCAAGATGCAGCTGACAGACAGTATTTATGTTTCATGCTTAAAACAAATTATTTTTGTCATAATTCATTTTCTTTGTGCCAATGACATGCTCTTCAACGATATCTGCTGAAGCATGAATATTGAACAATGTACACAGATTGACAGTAAAGCAATCATATCTGCACTGAAATCAAAATGAAAGGAAAATGTTGATTCTATTGCACTTCACTTATATGGTAAAATCAGATGCAACCTTCAAACTATAGCTGTGAATTTACATTCTTTCATTACTCCTTTGTATTAGACATATTATTCATGACTTTTGCCACATGAGCTTGATTGCCTGGTCTGCTAGTCATCACAACCAATCCATGACACAGGGAAAGAATCTTAAGAAGGGGCATTCATTTTCCTACAACCTACTTACTTATGGAGCCATTCAATGCTAAAGGCACTAGCTTAAGTGAAATTTCCACAACTTTCTCTTATCATTATACCAAATACCTACTAATTCATTTACTTCAGCAATATTTTCATAACTACCTATCAAAACTGATGACAGTAGAAGCTAAGTGGTTTAAGACAAAGTAAGTTACCCTCAAGCAATGATTTCCAAACCTATGGATTGTCAAGGTCATTGTATGTCATCCTTGCTCTGAGGAGCTGCAATATCCTCAAAAGGATGTGGCAAGCTTGAGGCAAAAACACCAGAATTTCTAGATAAAAAGGAAAATGAAAATGAAAACATTAAATGGATAGGTCACTTTATTATCTTTTCATAAAGTGACCACTAACAATCAAATCAACTGCTACTGGGGAATCACATAACTGACTGATTTGCAATGTGTCATCTGCAAGTTAAGTTGAAATCAACAATTTTATTTTAAGAATATTCTGAACAAATCAAAAATCTTAAATTTATACAAAGCAACCCAGCCTTGTAGATTAGAATAATCAATAAAAAGGTAGGTATGGCCACTATAAATTTCCGAACCAGTCTGCAGCTTCTATGAATTCTCCTGTAATAAAGACCCAAGATTATATACAATCATTTTGTAGCAATATCATAAATAATTTAAAGACATGCATTGCAAAGCAAAAACATGTACAAAAGCATTAGTCAAAAGCATTCCTGAATGAATAACCATTTGATTATCAGCTGTGACCCCTCACACAAAGCTTTTGTCAATTGTCACACAGCAAAGCATGCACACGAGAGGAATTAAACAAAGAAGTAGTGATATACATAGGTACCTGGCATGCCGCACAACACACGATCATGCAAGGAAAAGCTGGACATGTACGGTGCTCTTGTTTGTGCCGCAGTCGTCCCACCAGCCATGTCCGGGAAATATCGCCTCATGCAGGCTAGGAATCGAGGCCTTACGACTAATTACTTTACCTAGCAGCGCACAGTGAGGCCTTAAAGAAAATGTCAAAAACTGTTCTTAAGAAACGACTGATCAGCACCGCAATCACAATAAAGTATATAACTCCAAAACGCAGCAACCGGGCTGCTTCCAAAATGATTGTCGAAATCGCCGTGCCGTACGCGACCTTCCGGGCGTGTTTTCATGAGGACAATCTCAGAAACAACTTTTAATTAATTTTCTGTATTAAATCACGATAAGGTCGCTAACACTATATGGAAACATGAGCGAAGACAAATTTACAAGCTGAGATTATGTTTCATCGCTCAATAAATAGCACCTGACGACACAAAACAACAAATGGAGATATCGAGCGCACTAGGAGGCTACTCACTATCAGCTGGTTGTGGCCATTTCCGGGCCATTGAAGTTTCCGGTGCCTACGGGAGACTCGTGGGGCCTGGAAACTGCTGGAGGGGCGGATGATCCTTAAAAAGCGTAGGGAATCAAAGACCTATAGACATAAATGGGGTGGAAGTAGGGTAACTTGATTTTTGGTGCTACAATGCGCTGCAGTTCTAACCCACGCCAGACTATTGCTTCACGATCAATAGTGATCTTTTTCTGAGCAATAATACCTATTACCAGCTTTTTCTAATGACTTGTTCTGTCCAGTTTACAAGATAGTGGCCTGTTTCCCGATTCCATTTAGGATGATTCGGGTCAACTTGAAACTCGCACGCAGCAAAGCCCTTGAGTAGCGGCGGAACACCTGTAGTGCACCGCCGCACGTTCTCCGACGCGGCGCGGCACTACCGCCGCTGGCGACTGGCAAGCGCTCCGACGCGGGGCGGCGCCACCGTCGACCTCAACGTGGCGCTGCTGTCGCAGCTGACGCGAGGCGCAGGTTCAGCGATATCCGCCAGATGGCTCTGCTCCACTTGTTCATTTCTATGTCCGATTTATTAATGTTTTAGAAATGTATGTTCGTGTGTATGTATCATAATGTTCATCGTCGTGTGGCCATTCATGCACTCTACTAGAAAGTATCTCTCGCTCTGATATACGTTTTCTCACTGCTTTGTACTGTCCTTAACTTTGCCAAAACGAACTATGGTTTCATCGTTGTGTTCACTACATAGCTTGCTCATGCTGTTTCAAATACATCGCTATCCTTGGCCGATCTAAGTGTTTGGGGGAGACGGCTCCACATCAGGGAACTTCCCAGCCCGTCGTTGTGTGGAATCCCAAGTTGCGAATCCCAAACACTGGAACGGCTTCATCCGGCTTAGAGCACGACTCGCCACGGCACCAGCCACAAATGGTGACCCCGACGTGATCGGTAGCTCAAGAAGTCATCGTCTCCGCCTCGGCAAGAAGAGGTCATCTTTGACCTGGCCTCCCCATCGCCTCGGCAAGAATGGGTGATCTTCACCCGGCTTCCGCTGCCGCGAACAGTGAATAGTGCGCTGGTGACGTGGCCTAGCCTCAGCGCAGCGAGCGCCAACGCAGGGCAGCGCAGCGAGCGCCAACGCAGTGCAGCGCAGCGAGCGCCAACGTAGTGCAGCGCAGCGAGCGCCAGCACAGTGAGCGCGGCGAGCGCCTAGTGATTACCGACAGTCTTTCAGTGTGCCTCTAGTGTTAGTGTTTGCTGTATATAGTGACTATGCCGTCACCCATCGAGCCGGAGGGTGCCGCCCAGGACGCGCCGACGCGGCCATTCGCGTCGTTCCGGCTGCCGGCCTACGCACCTGAAGAAGCCGAGCTCTGGCTGGTGCAGGTCGAGTGTGCCTTCGCCGTCGCCGGCATCACGGATGACCACGACAAGTTCCGGCTGCTGGTGGCCAACCTGCCTGTGCATGTCGCTTCACAAGTTCGAGACGTGATAACAGCCGAGACCGGCTCGTTCTCAGAACTAAAAGGGGCCCTGAGCACGCGCCTGGCCCAGTCGCGCGCCTCACGCCTCGAGGCACTCCTCCGCGACCACCAGCTGGGCGACAGGAGACCCACGCAGCTGTTGCGCAGCATGCAGCACATGCTGGGCAGCGCGGGCCACGACCTCGGCCTTCTCAGGACGCTGTTCCTGCAGCGCCTGCCGCCGACGACCCGCGCCGCCCTCGCGCTGCTGCCGGAGGACACTGGTATTGACGACCTGGCCAGCGCGGCCGACCGCTTCCAGGAGGCCTCTGGCGGCGCCGCCGTGACTGCTGTCTGCACGCCGACGGCCGGTGTCGCTGCCGCCTGTGGCCCGCCGGCCGGCCCTGGGGTCACGCTCGCCCCGCCGGCCAGCGCGGTGGCCGCCGCCGGACCGCCCGCCGCCTGCGGGTGCGGTAACGCCGGCATGGCCGCTGCCGTCACCGCCCTCACCGCTGCGGTAGCACGAATCGAAGCCGTGTTCCAGCGGGGCGGTGCCGACGCTCCTCGGCGTGGCCGCTCCCGCTCCCGTCCGCGCCGACCCGCACCTGCCTCGTCTGGCAGTTCTCAACCGGCATCGGTGACACCTGATGAAGGGTACTGCTGGTACCACCAGAAGTACGGCGCGGAGGCCCACCGCTGCAGACCGCCGTGCTCCTGGTCGGGAAACTAGCCCGCCTGTCCGCGCTAGCGCCAGCGGAGACGGGCCGGCCAACACTGGCGCCCCTCTTCTATGTCACCGACCTTGCCCGGAACTGGCGGTTCCTCGTCGACACCGGCGCACAGGTGAGTGTCGTCCCACCACGAGTCGTGGCCGACGGCACCACTGTGCAGCCGCCCGACGCGCCTCGACTGGAAGCAGCCAACGGCACAGAGATCAAGCTCCATGGCGTTATTTCGACTTCGGTGCGTTTCGGAACAGTGGACTACCCGTGGACATTCATGGTCGCCGACGTGTCGATGCCGATCTTGGGAGCGGACTTTCTCGCCCATCATCGTCTGCTGGTGGACATGCGCCGTCAGCTCCTCCAGGCTGAACACGGCACAACGTGTGCCGTGGGCACCCCAGCCGACATCGGCTCCGTCGGAGTGCGAATGTGCGCGGCGCCCACTCTCGCAGACTTGTTTAAAGAGTTCCCTCGAGTGACAGCCACATCTGCGCAGCTCCTGCCCGTGCGCCATAACGTCACTCACCACATCGTGACACGTGGACCTCCTCGTGTAGGGCACCCTCGGCGTTTGCCGCCCGACCGCCTCCGCATCGCCCGTCAGGAGTTCGACAAGCTGATCAGCCTCGGGGTCGCCCGCCCATCCAAGAGCAGCTGGGCGTCGCCCCTCCACATGGAGCCTAAGAAGGAGCCCGGACAGTGGCGCCCGTGCGGCGACTACCGCGCCCTGAACGCCGCCACCGTCCCGGACCGGTATCCCATACCGTTCCTGCAGGACTTCTCCGCGAACCTGCACGGCTGTACCATCTTCTCGAAGATCGACCTCGTCCGCGCGTACCATCAGATCCCGGTCGAACCCGCTGACATCCCGAAGACGGCCATCGTCACACCGTTCGGGCTATTCGAGATGCAGCGGATGAGCTTCGGTCTTCGCAACGCCAGTCAGACATTCCAGCGCTTTATAGACGAGGTGATGCGCGGGCTGACGTGCTGCTACGTGTACATCGACGACATCCTCATCGCCAGCACGTCCGTCGAGCAGCACCGCCGTCACCTCCGTCAGGTACTGGAACGTCTCGACAAGTTCGGCGTCACGATCAACCCAAAGAAGTGCGTGCTGGGCGTCAACCGTATCAGCTTCCTCGGTCACGATGTGTCCCCGGACGGCATCGCCCCGCTGCCGGAGAAGGTCGCCGCAGTCCAGGAGTTTCCGCAGCCGACCACGCAACGCCAACTGCGTAGGTTCATCGGCCTGGTGACCTACTATCACCGGTTCCTGCCTGGTGCTGCCGGCCTCCTCCGACCACTTCACCACCTGCTGGACCAGAAACGCAAACGCGCGGCGCCGGTGGAGTGGACGCCAACCGCTGAGGACGCCTTCCAACGCGTGAAGGCTGCCCTGGCTCAGGCCACGCAGCTCGCGCACCCCACTCCCGGCGCAGCGCTGAGTCTGCAGGTCGATGCCTCTGACACCGGCGTCGGCGCTGTCCTGCAGCAACACTCGCACGGGACCTGGACGCCGCTGGCTTTCTTCTCGAAGTCACTCCAACCAGCAGAGACACGCTACAGCACCTTCGGCCGCGAACTGCTCGGGGCGTATCTGGCGGTCAAGCACTTCCGGCACACTCTGGAAGGCCGCCAGTTCGCCATCTTCACCGACCACAAGGCCCTCGTGTCGGCAGTCTCGTCCGGGTCAGCCAGCTACTCGCCGAGGGAGATCCGGCACCTGGACTTCATCTCCCAGTTCACCACCGACATCAGGCACGTGCCTGGGAAAGAAAACGCAGCTGCGGACGCTCTGAGTCGAACAGTGGCGATGCTCTCAGCACCGTGCCCGCCAGTCGACGACTTCGACAAGCTCGCAGCCTGCCAGCTAGAGGACGAAGAGCTGGCGCGCTTCCGCTCGACAGAGCACGGGCTCAAACTCAGAGACGCCCGGCTCCCCAGCGGCCGCACGCTGGTCATCGACGAGTCCCAGGGTGTACCGCGGCCGTGGATCCCGGCACCGCTCCGGCGCGCCTACTTCCGGCACGTGCACGATCTGGCCCACCCGGGAGTGCGCGCCACCGTCGACCTGGTCACGCGGCGTTTCGTGTGGCCGTCGGTGAAGAAGGACGCCGCACTCTGGGCGCGCACCTGCGTCCCGTGCCAGCGCACCAAAGTCCACCGGCACACGACAGCGCCGCCCGCCTCGTTCCCGCCACCTGCCGACAGGTTTCGACAAGTGCACGCCGACCTGGTCGGCCCGCTGCCGCCGTCTGAGGGCTACTCGTATCTTCTGACGGTGGTGGACCGGTACAGTCGCTGGCCGGAGGCGATCCCGCTGCGTGGCATCACGGCGCGAGAGGTCGCCCGGGCGCTGATCTCCGGCTGGATCTCTCGGTTCGGCGTCCCGGACGAGATCATCACCGACCGGGGCAGCCAATTCGAGTCGGCGCTCTGGGCTGAGCTGTCCACTCTCCTGGGCTGTGCGCGGCGCCGGACCACCGCGTACCACCCCCAGGCCAACGGGATGGTGGAGCGCCTGCACCGGCAGCTTAAGGCCGCGCTGCGCGCCGCCGCGCCCGCCCGCTGGACGGAGGCTCTTCCTTTGGCGCTGCTCGGAATCCGCTCGGCGCTCAAACAAGACCTGGGCTGCAGCACTGCCGAGCTGGTGTACGGAGCGCCGCTCCGCCTACCTGGTGAACTCATCACCCCGTCCGCCACCGCGCCTCCTACGCCGGAATCATTCGCCGCCGAGCTTCAGCGCACCATGGCGGCACTGCGCCCGACGGCACCACGACCAGCACCAAGCGCGCCGTCGTACGTGCCGCGCGCGCTGGACCACGCCTCGCACGTGTTCGTGCGCCACGACGCAGTGAAGCCGCCGCTTGCCCCGCGTTATGACGGACCATACAAGGTGCTACACAGATCGGCGAAGACGGTCACTGTGGACCGAGGCGGTCGTTCCGACGTTATCTCCATCGACCGAGTCAAACCGGCGCACTTGGAACGGCCCCCACCTGCTCCAACTCCGACAGCATCGCCGTCTGCGGTCCAAGACACGGCGCGTTCCGCCGACTCGGCAACACCGGCCTCCGGCCCAGAGCTCCTCCTGCCAGTGCCTCGCGCACCGAGGCCGCCGCTTCCGCCACCGCGTGGCGACCTGCCGCTACAGCCGCCGCCTCCGCCCGCGCCCCCACCGCCGTGCCTACGGTCGACCCGCTCCGGCCGTGCTGTACGGCCACCAACGCGTTTTCTTAACGTCACGTTCGCAGTGCCGTCTCTAGGGGGAGGGTGATGTAGTGCACCGCCGCACGTTCTCCGACGCGGCGCGGCACTACCGCCGCTGGCGACTGGCAAGCGCTCCGACGCGGGGCGGCGCCACCGTCGACCTCAACGTGGCGCTGCTGTCGCAGCTGACGCGAGGCGCAGGTTCAGCGATATCCGCCAGATGGCTCTGCTCCACTTGTTCATTTCTATGTCCGATTTATTAATGTTTTAGAAATGTATGTTCGTGTGTATGTATCATAATGTTCATCGTCGTGTGGCCATTCATGCACTCTACTAGAAAGTATCTCTCGCTCTGATATACGTTTTCTCACTGCTTTGTACTGTCCTTAACTTTGCCAAAACGAACTATGGTTTCATCGTTGTGTTCACTACATAGCTTGCTCATGCTGTTTCAAATACATCGCTATCCTTGGCCGATCTAAGTGTTTGGGGGAGACGGCTCCACATCAGGGAACTTCCCAGCCCGTCGTTGTGTGGAATCCCAAGTTGCGAATCCCAAACACTGGAACGGCTTCATCCGGCTTAGAGCACGACTCGCCACGGCACCAGCCACACACCTTCAATTGGGGCACTGCCGACTTTTGGTCCCATTCTTTCCATGCAACGCCCATAGCGCTAATGTTAAGATGCCAAAATCAAATGGGGGCACGGTGCCCCCCCCCCCCCCGTTCCGCCGCCTATGAGAATGGGAATATTGGCCAAAACCAGGGATGCGGAGCCGGAACCGGAGCCGCCGGAGCCGGCATATTTTGCCCGGAGCCGGAGCCGGAGCCGTGAAACAATATAGCCCGGAGCCGGAGCCGGAGCCGGAGCCGTCAAAAAAGGGGGCGACTCCGGCTCCTTTTCTTAAGAGGAAACAATTATTTACCTAGTTCGGTTTGACAGTACAAGGCGTAAAACAATCTGGTATTCAAAATAGCCTTGTTATACAAATACAGAAGCAAAGTGTACCAATCCCATCGCCTTTTTTCTTCCACCCGTATTTAATTGATCGCATAGGGGATGTACTGAGTAGAAGCCGGAGCCGGAGCCGCCGGAGCCGGATCAGTTTACTCCGAGCCGGAGCCGGAGCCGGAGCCGATTTTTTTCTCCGGAGCCGGAGCCGGAGCCGGAGCCGTCAGAAATTTCCACGGCTCCGCATCCCTGGCCAAAACCATTCGGAGCCCGGAGGCACTCTTACCCGTTTGACCTTGAAACCATCAAAGCTCGAGGCCGTTGTGGAGCTCCAGTGGAGCTAGTAAAGCCCGGGCTTGCAGGATTAGGTTTTCCTGGTCTGCGGGTGCCGATCGGGGCGCAGGACTGGCCTTCACTTCGGGCCATCCTCGCGCCTCGGTCGTCCGACTCCTGCCCGTGAAGCGTCGTCACTTATTATAACGCGGGAGCGTGAGTTCATCGCGACCTCCGTTCCGTTCCGCCCGTTTGTCGTTTCCATAGTCAGAATAGTCAAATCCTACCTCACACCTCAACCCCTTCTCCGGACTGCACGGTGACCATTTAGGTATCTCACATGGGTAGCTCCACCCCAGGAGCAGGCCCATGACCGAGTGCGGTGACTGTTCGCGGGGCTGAGCCTGAGGTGTCCACGTGATGGGCTCAGCTCTGGCAGAGCATCAGGGTCATCACCCACCCAGACCAGTCTCCCCCAAATTCCTATCATCCTTCCGGCTCTGAAATGGTCTCGTCAGTCCGAACAAGCCTAATCCAACACAACAAAGTTCATCGCGACTCTTGTGCCGGCTTCGCTCGAGGTATATGTTCCGCTGGCCCGGAGGGAGGCTGGGGCCTCGTGCTTAGCCGGCACTCGTAGCCAGACTAGGAGCGGCATAAAGTAAAATTTTAACTTTCACGTCTATATATTAAAATAGGATAGTTTGCACCTAAAGTTTGCACGTTTCTGCGATGCTACTAGGGACTTATACTTCAAACGCTTAATAGGTAATTCAGTGTCGTTTCAACCGTTGGCCTCAATCTGTCTTACTACATGCAATACAATGATGGAGCCGTCTGTAGAGTTTATTGTGCTGTTAAGAAGAGATGAGAGAGGAGAGACCAAAGACAGAGTAATGATAAGTCGCGGAGTTTACACGTTTACCGTCATATTGTCCCGGAATTAAGACATTGCACACCGCACCGTACCAGGGCTCGCAGTCGCCATCCACCGTGTGTTCCGGAAATGTGCTACAATCATTGTCCACCAGATGCCAAAGGAGCATAATAAATAGGTACTAATGCTACCCCAGCTGGGTGACAGACGGCTGTTGGGGGAGTGGGCGTGTAGTGGGCGCCGTCTGAGACAACAAACTTGCACAGCAGTGGCGGAATATATGAATTGGAATAATTGTGAGCCAAAGCAAGTCATTCAATAGCCCATACAACGTAGTAGCATTCATGCAAACTACTACTTGATAAGTGACCTCCTCTGCACATTGCGTTCTGATCCGGTTTGCAGAATAACATCGTTTTTCACGAGGGCGTCGATACACTGTCATGTATGCCTGCCTACTAGGAAAACCAGTGTTCCGTGTAACTCCTGCAAAAAGCAGCGTACATCAAAGTCAAGTGACCCTGGTTGACCTCTGAAGGTCAAACGACTAAAAGCTCGGGGTGCCACTCCTGCACAGGACACGGTCTACGAGTATACAAGAAAGCAGGGCTGCGGAGTCGGAGTCGGAGTCGGAGTAGGAGTTGGAGTCGGTCGGAGTCGACAGTTCGTCCTTATACGTTCGAACTGCAAAACCGCAGCGATGCTCGCCAAATCTAAAGGTAGACTGTCTGCTTTGAGCGAACAAAAGTTAACATGATCGTTTCTGTATATTTCGGTCCCATTCGCAACAATGAAATATTCAGAGACTCGATATACACAGATAAAGAAATGACAAGTGTGGTATTACAATAATGGAGGTGACAACAAGCGTAACCACACGTCAGTCACACAGCAGACAACGTCCCGTCACGTCACGTCATACGTCACGTCACGTTACGTCACACATCACATCAGTCATCGACCGAACGCGATAAAAGTCAGCTATTTCCTTTCCGCATTTTTGGTTCCTCACTTGTGCCAAGAACATCTTTTCGGATGTCTTTTAAATTGATGCCCTTCTCTTCGATTGCTTCCTTGGCACATTCTGAATATTTCTTGAACAGTTCAAGACACCTTGGATCTTCAGTGGTCTGACCTTTCAAGAATTTCTCAGAGAACCATGCGTTGAAACAGTCATCGTATTCTTTTTTGATGTCTTGACATTTTTCACCGATGCTGTTCATCCTTCAGCCTGAAAAAAGTAATGAACAAATGGGGTGGTGGTGAATAACAGCTGGCAGCCAGGGAGAAAACAAAGGGTCGTCATAGCACAACAATGATTATCGAAAATCATACACTAAAGACATAACAAGCATGAGCTTAGCAGCAAATTAGGAAGTAACCCTGCAATTTTCATGATAATTGTACCTACATGCATAGGCTGTTCTATGTCCCCGCCCCACCTTATTCCCATTTATTTGACCCCATACCCTGCCATTTCACTCCTTCTTATATAAAATATACCACTTTTAACATGGAGTTTTGAGTTGGAATAACAGTTTTGTGGCTTGGGCTGAAACTAACAATTCTGGACTCTGGAGTTAGCCCAATTCTGAAGCTTTTACATCCAAACAATCACCCTATCCTATTGATTTTAGCTCTAAAAGCAGTCACTCATGCCATGGAGGAACGTGGTGTCTTATGGAAGAATGCAAAGAATGGAGGCACCTCTGGGCTCTGGCATAGGCCAATCATCAGCCAATTAGCATGCAGCTGGCTTTGCACTTCAAAATATGATTGGCCAACTCATAATAAGCAGCTCTCCAGCAAAACTATTCAGCCTCTACCAAACATGGAAAATAGTTCTTCCTATATGAAAATATAAAAAGCCATAGTAGTTAGTTATAAAGCATTTTATTTCTGATCACATCAAGCAGGAAAATCATAAAACTGTAGCAAAAACTAATGTGAGGAAAGTGGTTATTTCAATTAAATGTGTGGATTGTCCATGATGGTAATACAATACAATACAATACAATTAATTAAATTTTTATGTCAAAAATGTCATATTAACCCCATTGGCCATTTAGAGAAGATTCCAGGGTATCTTTGGCTAGCAGTTCAAGTTGGGCAGGCTAAGTAAGCTTAGGAGGGATTAGAACAGAGTTAGATCAGGTTGTCAAGAAATGCAATACCTACAATGAAATTGAAGTGCGCATGCAGTATGCACGGACAAAGATTTGCGGACAGAGTAACAAAGAAACACAGGTAACCATAGCCAAGAATTCAAGAAATGTCCCAGAGATTTGTCTAGATACCCATTGTTTACCATACCTACAGCAGCCTTGTAATTACCATACCTTACTAAACTCTAAACCACAGCTTCAGCTAGCCGTGCAAGTTACCTACAAACAATTAATCAACCAGATGACACTGATATGAAGCTCAAGCTGGAAAATAGGGAAAAGCCTTAGACTATGCCAAGAAACAAAAGGGCCAATATACACTTATCAAATATCCAAGACCTTAACACCACTTTATCATACTTTATTAGGGACCAATGGCCTCAGTTATGTTATATAACAATATAAATTATAAATTAATTTGAATCAGCCAGCGTCAGCCAGCGATCTAAACGAAATCATACGAAACTACCGCGCCATTTCTGTCAAAGAAAGGACTTCAAGGTTTTGTTTATTTCGGTTGCGAAGACGACACTACTCCACTGCCATCCTTGCAGTCATATTTTTATTCATAAACAAATTATCGAGTTCAAATAAGAATAGCAACATTTGAAAAAGGATAAACAGTTTTATTTGCCATTACGAATATGGTGACCACAGGTAACCTCGGTCACCTTAAAAGGTGAACTTTATTATTTTGCTTATTGCAGCAAGAAGGTATGTAGCCCAGGAACCACTAAGCCGATGGAGACGAATGCACCTGAAGTCGCTTTGCCGCATGCGATTTTACCATATATTTTGATTATGGTGACTGCCTCGGTAACGCTCAAAAGTCAACTTGACAAATTACCTACCCTACCTCCCGTTTTCAGCCATACTATAAGTCTGAAACCACTGAGCTGATCGAGGCTAAAACGCTGCCAGCGATTTACCATGGGCAATTTCATAGCCCGTTTCGAATATAATAGCCTTGGATGAGCTCAGTGACCTTGGGAGGTCAACTGAGCGTTTGCATCTATGGCAGCAATTATGAAACTCAGCAACCACTGGGTCGAGAAAATGCCGCCAGTCGGTTTGACGTATGCGACTTCATCAGCCCGCTTCGAGTAAGGTGCACAGGTGACCTCGGTGACCTCGGGAGGTCACCTGAAGGCTGAACGTTTTCGCCAATACCTAACAGCCATCATATAACTCAGGAACTATACTAGGGTGATCGTGATCGGGAGTCCGGGACGGAAATGTCACCAATCGATTTGCCACCTATGTGATTGCTTCGTACGTTTCGAAGAGTGACCTGAAATGACACTACTCCTTCAGAGATCAGTTTGACGACTTCGCGTCTGGAAGCCATTCTGAAATTCATTCAGTCGAAGCAGCTAGATGAGAAGTGGGGACTCCCTTTTAAAATGTCACCTGGCGTAGCCTCGTGACCTGGCCTCAAATAACCTGGGTCTGAGATTTATAGGTACAACATAAACAAAAATCAGTAACATTGTTGTCAGATTATGACATGCTTTTTTAAACGCGTAAAATGAACAAACAGCCGCACAGTGCACTCCTAGATCTTTGAGAAGGAGGCGAGGGAGGAGCGAAACTACGCTGAACGGTGGTTAGACAACGAAAGTGTAAGCAGTCCGTCAACTCGTTCAAGGCCCGACAAGCACTGGGGTGTTATCACTTATCATGTTCGACACCCCCTATCCCTTAGAGCCCAGCCTGTCTACCCCGATGAGCTCGATGAGACCGGGATCCACAGGCAAAGAGGTATTTTCAACCCCGATCACCTCAAAAGTAAGGTAGGCTAGAAATAAGGAAGGCAGGTCACATGTAGGTAAGGACTAAGGAGTCTAACGTTAGTTCGTCGAAATGATTAATGAATAGCCATTCCCGTGCAGACCTACCCCGATAACTAAAATGATCAACTGAGCGGGCATATAAAGCGTGATATAAAAGACGCCAAACCACTACTTTACCGTCGTAACTGTATTGCCTTCAAAACAGAAGCACTGAATCATGCGTTACGGTTAAAATGATTGACGTGAAAAGCGCTCAACTTCTTGCGATGGACGTATTTCCCCAACCACTGAAAAATAACGCTGCACGCGACTGAAAGAGAGCTCATGTAAACAGGACCTAATTTCTACATGGGCATCGGACAAAATGGATTCTATTACACATCAGCTAATGAACGATTCCCAAAGCGTAGTAATGCCACAGAAATCTGGCATCCGGGCGCTATTTCCCCTCCCGTCCCTCTCGGGATTTGTCATGGCGCGCCCACCGCAGCGGGCTCCACCCTCGGCAGGTTGACAGGGTGGCGATGAGCAGCCGTCGGTCCAGCGGGCGGGTGACGTCACCAGTCGAGCAGGCCGTCGACGTTGCTCAGCTGACCGCTGTGAGGCTCTGGTATGACGTGGCTCAGAGCCGCCAGCAGCGGGTACACGTCCACGGCGTTGGCCTGCTGGACGGTGGCGCCGGCCCGGAAGGAGGGCCCGCGGCCGAGCAGGACGCCGCGCATGTCCGGGGCGGCGCCCGTCGTGTCGTCGTACCCGCCGGCCGCCTGCACGGCCAGCGGCCGCTCGTTCTCCAGGTAGTAGCCCGGCTCGGCGACCAGCAGCAGGTCCGGCTCGCGCTGCGGGTGCGCCAGCCGCAGCCGCGCCGGCAGCGAGCCGCGCAGGTGGGCGCGCACGCCCGGATGCTCGGCGGCGATCCGGGCGGCCTGCTGGGCGTGCTCTGTGGCCATGTAGCCGAGCACGGCGCCGCCGTCGCCGGCCAGTGTGACGGCGGCTTCTGCCGGCAGCAGCTCGTCCACCGGCACCGTCTGCAGCTGAGCCGTGTCGGTGAGGCCGCCGTCAGAAACCACCACCAGGTTCACACTGTCCCGCGCCTGCCGACCCGTCAGCTGCCGGTCCAGCTGCTGCAATCGACGGTCGATCGCTCGCAGCTCGTCAAACAGAGCCTCAGAGGTGGGGCCGTGCTCCTCAGCCGCCCGTCGCAGCGCGTCCGTGTGCACGATGCCGATGCCGTACGGGTTCTCCGGCTGTAGCAGACGGTCCAGTATCTCTGTCAGCGTGTCGGCCAGCTTCTCCGCCGGGAACGGAGGCAGGCAGAAGGTGGTTTCGAAGGCGTCCAGCGGCGTGCAGGCCGACTCCAGCCCGGCCACAGCCGTTCGCCGCCACTGTCTGACGGCTGAGTTCCAGAACGGCACGGCGCCGCCCCACCAGGCGGCGTCCTCGGCCGAGTGGCCGGCCGGACCGTCCAGTCGCAGCTCACCCAGCTCCCGGTCCAGCACGTGTGGCCCGAACACGCCGTTCTTTTCCGGAAACACACCGGTGAACAGGGAGGCGCGCGTGGCGACGCCGTCCGACGGGAACGTCGGGTTGAGCCACTCGGCGTGCGCCCCGTATCGCACGAGCTGGGTGAAGAAGGGCAGCTGTTCGGCCGGCAGGCGCGAGAGGTAGTCGTGCCGGAGACCTCCCAGTGAGACGACGAGCAGTTTGGGCGGCGGGTGGCCGATCTTGAACCACACGTACACGGCCATGGCCAGCAGCACCACCACCAGCACCACCAGCACTATACTGCTGGGCAGCCGCGACAGCCAGTCGCCGGCCGGCCGGCGGGGCTCCGGAGCCGCCGCCACCGGAGCCGCCGGAGCCGGCGACGGCTCCCTGTCGCCGCGCCGCTGCCGCACCTGCGCCATCCTCATCGACCGAGCTCCCGGCACGCAGTGGCAACGTCCTCGGGGCGGCAGCGTGCAGTTCTGCAATCGGCGGCGGCGGAACCAGTCGGACCGGCCCGGCGACCGCAGCCGGCGCCGCCTGTGAGTGACGGAGCGCGCCGGCGCGCCGCTCCAATCCGATCGCCCCGTGTCACACCAACTACCATCGCCCGGAACCGGCGGGGGACGGGGGGGGGGGGGGGGCGTGCAGCGCGCCGCCGGCCGGTGCAACTACACGCCGGCTCCGGTGTTTTCGCAGATACCTGACGGAAAGACAGCCCGGCAAAAACGTTGACCTTCCGCACTGCCGTTGACCCCTCGAGACCGGTGCACAGGATTACTACAAGATGATCATTTTCTAGTATTTTTGGAATGTTGGCAAGTCTAGGAGGTCCAACGGTGGTTATTGACGTAAACGGTCAGTTTTTCAAGATCATTATATAATGAGGTAATTGTTCTTCCGTATAGTTGGAATGTTGGCCTGTTTTGGCGTGTCAGCGATGGATTTTCTGCATGCCGTTGAGTTTCTCGACCCCGGGCGAATGTCGACGACATCGCATGTTTGTGGGCAGGGGGACACTACAACACGTTTGGAAGCGTTGACATTAACAGATGCTATCATACTCGAATCATGAATTAGTAATTCTTAATAAGACTCGGCTTCAGCGCTGGCTGAATGATCGAATAGCAGAATGATTTAGCGCTGGCTGAATGATTGAAGAGACGTATGACTTCACTTAGGTACTATAAATATCAGTATCATGTTTTCAACTACTAAATGATCAAGCGAATATCTATATCCGGATAATATCAAACGTGATTTATTGAACAGCTTTGTGCATCTACACCTTTTGAGACTCAATGAAAAAGATATGTAGGTACTAGGTACTCATAAGGCTATATAATAAAAACGACATCCACAGTAGGAACCGAAAATAATCGAATCTAAGTAGGACGTGCCAATGAAGAAGACGCAGTTCAGAATCGGGATAAAGACCTGAAGTGATGATCTGTGGAGTCAGGAGGTCTCGGAGGCAACTGCTCCCCCATCCCGTCCTCCCATCCCACAAATGGCCGACGACAGAAATTGATAAATTTTTGCAGGTTTCCTCGCAAACAAAAGGATTTTCTTAGAAAGCAGCACTGTGTCTTTTTGGACCCGGTGATCAAATTGATAAACGGCGAAAGCAAAACGGGAACAAATGCACCGGCTAGCCCACCTTGTTGGCCTTCTTGCCATGCAAACTCCATTTAGCGCGTCATTTTTTACACAAACTACCATTTCCATTTGCTAATTCATATTTTCTTCTTTTATCTGGACTTAAGGTTTCATGGACGTATGTAATGTAAATAATACGGTAAAACTTTGAGTCGTTTTATCTACTCATGTTTTATTTCACATCTTGGTTTCACAGACACTTAAAAAATCGCTCTTTCTATCCCGTTGGAGTATAAATCCCCTAACTACGCAAGAGTCACAAATCCAATGGTGTAACATTGTTAGTAGAGATGCATAATGCTGAAGTGAACTAGGGTTAGTCAATGAGAGCTCGTTGGAGCTAAAAGGCACACAATGCAGCGAGGCAACTGGTAGGTCGGCCATTGCATTCCTCACGGCGTCAGTCGCACTGTAAGTGGGATTGGACATTACTTTTAAGTAACAATGTCCGGGTTAGTCATGTCGTCAGTCACGCCGTGTCCGGGTCAGTCATGTCGTCAGTCATGCCGTGTCCGGGTCAGTCATGTCGTCAGTCACACCGTGTCCGCGCAAGTCATGTCGTCAGTCACGCCGTGTCCCGGTCAGTCATGTCGTCAGTCATGCCGTGTCCGGGTCAGTCACCGGGTCAGTCATGTCGTCAGTCACGCCGTGTCCGGGTCAGTCATGTCGTCAGTCACACCGTGTCCGCGCAAGTCATGTCGTCAGTCACGCCGTGTCCCGGTCAGTCATGTCGTCAGTCATGCCGTGTCCGGGTCAGTCACCGGGTCAGTCATGTCGTCAGTCACGCCGTGTCCGGGTCAGTCATGTCGTCAGTCACGCCGTGTCCGGGTCAGTCATGTCGTCAGTCACGCCGTGTCCGGGTCAGTCATGTCGTCAGTCACGCCGTGTCCGGGTCAGTCATGTCGTCAGTCACACCGTGTCTGGGTCAGTCTCCCCGTCAGTCACGCCGTATCCGGGTCAGTCATCCCGTCAGTCACACTATGCGGGCAGGCCGGCGCCCATTACCCTGCAGTCGGGAGAGAACGTACCCTGGCAGGTCTCCCAGTTAACCGAGCACAGACAAAACACTGAATGTGGGTGGTATGATCCGACCTACAGCCAGCTCTGCCGCAGGCCTGCGATATACACGAATGGGGGTGAAAGCACAAATGGAAAGCTCTCTCATCCTGGCCATTAACATACACTGGTGGAATAACGATAACCTATAGTCCGCGATCGCGAATTTGCCTACCTTAAGTTTTGTCCCCACTGGCCATTCCTAGTTAAAACAATTCACAAATGCACATTTACCAAAATACTGAACTGCTATGGCCAAAATCTCACCTAAAAAAATGCATTTCAAAACTCACTACAAAACGTTCTACATCATGGATAGAAAAAAAATGCCAACTTGACCTTATAGCTTCACCCAAGAGCGGGGCACGCCGCTCGCCCCGCCCAATCCCAGCACAGAATGGTGCACTGGGGCAGTCAATGGCAGTGGGGCGTCCGGCACGCAATGGCCGCTCGGTCTCACGCGCTGGCGATCTCGGGCGCCGCCGGGTCTCAGGCGCTGGCGGTCTTCTCTGTGGAGGAGGCCGCCTTGCCCGATGTGGCCGCCTTGCCCGGGGAGGCCGCCTTGCCGCCCTCTTGCTCCTCCTTTGCGGCCGCGTAGATCTGGTCCACGTCGCCCCAAATATGTTGTACGTCCGAGAACGCCTGCCGAACACAGAAGGAGCTCCGTTGGAAGTGGTGGCGTTACGGGCGACACACCCGATTTGAGACTACTGCAAACCGTATACCCACCGGGATACTGCATATTGCATACTGCATACATGCTGCATAACCGAGATAACCTAACCTTCCACCCATGGTATGGGTCAAGAAGGCATGTTACAATGCTGGAACGGAACTCGATGACTTCTTGAGCGAGTAAGAAGCAACTATTTTCATCATAACGGAATAACAGCTTAGCAAGCGCAGCGGCACAGCACGGCCGAAACACTTTCGAGTTTTGAAAGTCTATTCTTCGCAACCGTTCGTCTATTTTTGGTAGTTTAATCCTTTCTTCTCAGACATTCTCTATGGTATCTGAGCGACCGTTAAATTAAGTGTCACATCACAAGGCAGGGATGTCAAAACTGGTCCGATAAGAAAAAACTCCGCAGTGACCGGACGGATTATGCTCGAGCTTGGCCTGTCGGTGGGCACCCAACGGGTGATGCATTTTCATGTATCGCCCGGTCCATGTATTTCATAACTATTGCGGTTCGAGTGCTATTGCATGTACATTGTACACGTGCAAGGACCGTTCTTTCATGCAAGAAGGACTCGCCTGATTGCGCTCATATTGGTACTTTGTTCGAAACCCCGTTGAAAGCCTGACAAGTACAATCATTGTAGTGAACGGCAAATACCGGCAAATAAAGGTTTCACATTCATGTCCTCCACTAATTTTAAGCTCCGATGGTTTTAAGTGATTTGACATTTGAGTACTTTATATTTACCGCTAGCGCTAATCCCAAAAACCGCTGAATTAAGCAGTGAGCACTGTACCTTGGAGAGCCACTTCTCGTCGGCCAGGATGTCGTTGAGGATGAGGGTGGTGTCATCGTCGGCCGACTCCTTCTTCCGCAGGGTCACCTTCTCACAGCAGCGCAGGTACAGGTGGTAGGTGAGGTGCTGAACCTGGTGGAGCAGAGGGCGGCCGCACAGGTTAGAGTGGTGAGGTCGGACCGGCTACCGAGGTCAGACAAGTCACTCATGGGGTCACGAGGTCAGACGAGGCCGCTGGACTCAGACGAGGTCACTGAGGTCAGACGAGGTCACCAAGGTCACACAGGTCACCGAGGTCAGACAGGTCACTGAGTTCACAGGGACACCGAAAACGCAAGCTGACAAACCGTCTTTGATTGATAATAAAAAAAAAACGGAAATAATTATTGAGATTTGCAAACTTCTCACATAAATGCTGACTTCTACGAAACACTAGAGATACTATGCTAGGGCTCGTTTGCAATGAAAATGGTACGCTAGACACGATCCAACCTAACATCCCATGGACCGGCCGTTCTGCACGCGACAAGCACTCCTCTCCGCTCTCACCTTGTTGTAGAGGTCGGCCAGGCCGGCGCAGAAGCTGCACATGTTGTGCCGCCCTTCTGTGTGCTCTTACCTTGTTGTAGAGGTCTGCCAGGCCGGCGCAGAAGCTGCACATGTTGTGCCGCCCTTCTGTGTGCTCTCACCTTGTTGTAGAGGTCTGCCAGGCCGGCGCAGAAGCTGCACATGTTGTGCCGCCCTTCTGTGTGCTCTCACCTTGTTGTAGAGGTCTGCCAGGCCGGCGCAGAAGCTGCACATGTTGTGCCGCCCTTCTGTGTGCTCTCACCTTGTTGTAGAGGTCTGCCAGGCCGGCGCAGAAGCTGCACATGTTGTGCCGCCCGTCTGTGTGCTCTCACCTTGTTGTAGAGGTCTGCCAGGCCGGCGCAGAAGCTGCACATGTTGTGCTGCCGTTTGCCCGGGGTGGGTACGTTCTCCTGGATGAGCAGCGTGCTGGGGTCGTACGGCCGGCCGTAGATCTGCACCAGGCGCGCGTTGGCCGTCTGGTGGCAGACGGCACACTCGGAGGGCGGCACGTTACGCAGCAGCACCAGCTCCAGCACCGGCAGAGAGTCCAGCTCCTCCTGAAAAACGCACGGACAACGGTCAGTACTGACACGTCCAAAGGCGCAGACACACAGACGGCACTGACGACCGCCGCGATCACACGCTGCCCCCAAAAATCTTATATGATGAAAGGTGCAAAATGATTTCTCCTCGGCAGCAGTTTTGATTTATTACTTCGATGACTATGACTTGATGTCAACACCTGAAGATGTTCTCAAGACACGGATATAATATGTTTTAACGAAAATAGCTTACGGTTGAGCGGAAGATACCGATTACCGACATCAAGGAAACCACTGTCTCCGAATGTCATCATTGTCCAGAGCTTGAACAAGTGAACTGAGGAAATGCCGATATTGGAGAACGTAACATGGCGTGTCCTCGTAAGCCTACAAAATGTAGGCAACAAACCTGCGTCGATTCGTCCCATGATTTGAGCTCCATAATCTTGTTTTTCCTGGTAAGATTCGCCTCTTGTACAATGGCCACATTCTTCATAAAATACTCGTCTGCAATACAACATATAGGTGTTAACTGAAAGACAATAAAAGCTTCAAGAGGCGAGGCGAAAAAATCTTACACGCACATAGCCAGGTGGGATAGTCGATAGAGTCTTACATTGGCTACAGAGGTCTATGATTGGCAGTAACCATGAATGGCCCTTCCCAAAGAGGTATGCTGGGCGGGTCGTAGGTACCGTCTACATACCTCCCTCTTGGGTGATCTCCACCAAAAAATTCGGGTCCAAGGCCTGAGACACCAGCGTCTGGATGAAGATCTCAAAGTTGTCCAGGTATTTTGATGTTTCCTCTATTGAGAGCATCTTCGAGAGGCTGAAATCATACAGATTGGTGTTGGTTGTTGTCAGACATGCCGCCGCGAAAAACGTCCCCCTATAATGGGAGGCGGTACAAACAACGAAACACGCCACGAACTGTGTTCCTGGATGTCACCAACGGACACAACTTAATCTTAGGAGTGTGACAGAAATTAGGACAGGAATTATATTGATGTATGATGCGTGTTGACATCCGATGTCAACATGCACTATAAATCAATACAATTCCCACAGTCAATGTGGTTCATAAATTCAAACATCATTATAAAGGTAACCGCATCCCAGAGACAGAACAGACTCTAAACGGAGTTTGCTGCAACGACCATATCCTCCGCCCTAGCCCGACCACCCCACACACGAGGCACATCCAGCCTTCCGCCGGCCAACTCACTTGAACGTGCTGCTGTGGGGGTTGTCCAGGAGTTCGACGATGGTCTCTGTCCGCCCCATCTGGTGGTAACGGACGCTCACCGGACGAAACTTCTCCGTGTCTGCCGCCCAGCTCATGTACTGTAACACAGGGCGGTCGGAGGGTGATGTTACTGCGGGCCGTAAAGATGGCTGGGTAGAGGCGGTTTAAGTCGATAAGCGGGTAGCGCCACCTGGTCTATTACGTCCATTGCCGAGAGTCTGAGGTCCATCAGATGGCGAAGTAGCAGCAGACGTGATACCCAGCAGCTTTCAAACGCAGGCCAGTGTCATGGATACATCATTGCTAGCCGAGGGAAATGCGGAAGGCGCTCAATACGAATTGCCTTTGTAAGGCCTACGCATTTACGTCTTGTTCGTATATCTGGGACAGGACTCTGTACACCTAAGGTCAACTTCTTAAATTTCCGAGGCGATGTGCTTTATCAACCCTCCACAACACAAACTAGTTAAGGCAGCTTACTTACCGTTCCCATATTCTTGTAGAGGCGCTGACCCTTGCCCTTGATGGGCTCGTACTTTTGGATCAGGAACTTGCCGTCGATCCGCCAGATGGGCGGCGTTTCCAGGTTGATGTCTTCCACGCTGATCAGGAAGTCTCCAGTCTGACGGGGGAGCACCGGAGGATATCATCAGCCAACGCCTACACTGTGACCTACACAAGCGGATACCACAAAATGCGAGGAGCGAAAAACTTACTAACGCATAAAAACACCATAAGTGGAGGTAGCCAATATATGAGCAGTCACCCGACAATATGCAGTAAACCTAACAATGACAAGTCCATCGGAACGATATGAGGCGGAATTTGCGGAATAGTCCCAGCAGGTGGAGCCTGGAGGTGCCCACATAGGCCGACGAAGCGTCCGGCAGGGATGGATCCCAGACCCCAAGGGGAAGAGCGGGCAGTGAGAGGCTCTTCACTGTACTTCCACGTTCACAGTTAATTGTTTACACACCGTTCAGCCCACGGTCGCCACTGGCGCCGTACCTTGAGTCCGGCGCTGTTGCGGCCCTGCTCGCTCGATGTCCGCGGGGCATTCACCTTCGCGGCTATGTCCTCGGGTATCTTGTAGCTGGTGACGCCGCCGCCGCTGCTGCTGTTGCTGTTGCCGCTGCTGGCGCCGCCGCGACCCCGGCTGCCCGCCGGCCGGCCGCGCCGAGAGGCCCCTCCGGAGGTCTTGCGATCCGAGTCGTCATCGGAACTCCCCATCTGCCAACAGAGGACAACAGGCGCAACTCAGGATTCAGGACCAGCAGCTGGCATGTAAAGACTCGGCCGACGAACTACACGCTGAAATGTGTTACGCAAGAAAATATTAAACGCGGCTTCGATCCAAACGATAGTTGAACCAGTTTCGAGCATCAATTAATCCGTGAGAAATAAAGGGGAAATATTCACATTCTTGCCATAGTACCAAAGTTATGATACGAAAAACAATACTTCATAGTAGAACAAATATGGCGCTGATGTCAGTTAATGCCAGGTGTTCATTGGTAGACTAGTGGACAGCATGTTAGCTTACCAGCCAAGCGAACCTAGTTCAAAGCCGACTACGGCCACACAACATTTTTAGTGAGTCGAAACATTTATGGTGCGAATGTTGGGCGAGACCCGCCGTCCGGGCCTTCGACACACACCTGCCTAGTCATCAAGCACCACCTGAGTTCCGATCAAGTTCCGATTTACCAGCGGTGTTTTGTGCCATTTAGCAATTAACGATTGAATGATGCAACAGTTTAGTTGCAAAAGCTACTTCGGGCTACTCATCCTTGTTCCTTCGTTGTCCATAAAAATATGGCCAGTAAAAACAATCGACATATGGATGTTGTATTGTTATAACCTACTAATGGCTTTTCTGACAGTCTGGTATTAATGACCAGGTGACGAAAAATGTTCCGTCAACAGCGTCCGGGACGCACAGTACCCGACTTGACCAAGAACATAAAAAGTTCTCGACCGTAATAAAAGCGACAATCTTCCAAGATGTGAACAGCGAAAAATACATATGCAGAAAACGATTTAACAAACTCATTAAGAAATAAATGCACTTTAGTAGTTAGAATGGTATCTTTAACATAATGGGCTGATATAGGTGTGGTGATATATGCCGGCACAGCGCCAATAGGAGTGAATTTTAGAAGTGGATAGAATTTGCGGCAGCGCACGAACACACGCTTAAACCACGGCCAGAGAATCGGTACAATCGGACAAAGCCGGCCAGACGGAGAAATAAAAAGTCAAAGTTTAGCGTGTGTGTTTAAAGGTGCGTCCCACTCACTAATTTCGAGCACTTACAGCAGCTCCCACCACCCGCGAACAATGACATAAAATGCATTTAACTATAAACCTAAAAAATTAACGCAAAAAGCTCTAGCTCAAAGATGCACAACAGAATATTCACAAAATAGCATTCCATCTTCGTGGAACGCTAGCCTCTCTGCAGAGTGTCGAGATCAGATGGCAGTCGGCACGACGTCGTGTGGAGCATTGAGACGAGTTCAGTGTCTTTACCCGTCCGGCCCTCCTCCCTCACTGCCATGTTCCAGCCCTGGTAATCACAGCCCTTGCTAACTCACTCACTGCTCGACCATTCGACCACTCACCCACTCCCCGTCCTCCCGCCACTCACTCGCTCACTCACTCTCTCACTCACACGCCCTGATGTTTCCCGTTCCTCCTAACTCACTCGATTCCTGGGCGGTCTCCAGTCGTCCCCAGACTCGTCGTCAGCCGAGTCCTGTCGCTCAGAAACTCCGGTCGCTCGACCCCGAGCGTCCCCATCTTCCAGATCGCCATCCACCTTCTCTTCGTCCGAGTCGTTATCCAGCAGGTGCTTGAAGTCGACGGCGCGGGCCGACGACCGAGCGCTGCGTCGCCGCCCAGTGTCCGGCTCCTCCTTCTCAGATTCTGCAGAGAGTGTAAACAATGGGTGTCAGCTGGAGTTAGTTGCCAGCACGGTCGGTGGATCAGTACGGACACATTTATGACGTAAAAATGCATGCAGATTGAAGGCCACAAAGCAGACTGGCAAGCCTAGCATGTAATGTACTAGCTTAGCAGATATTTGAACGTATATGCATATATAGGCTTAATCCATTGTAAATGAAATTAACTTTTAGTTTGCATTGTGGGATCACGCTGCCATTAACATGGATCAGTGGGGCAGCAGTTTCTGCAGTTAGCTGCCAGCACCAAGAATACCAACAAGAAGACCAGGCAAGACTATTAAGTGATCCAATACGGTGGCATTAGTGAGGTCGACATGGCGCCAACACGACCCCGACACGGCACGTGTGCCGATGGAAGCCTGCGACAAACCGATACGTGCAGTGTGCAGTGTGTGCACCCCACACTGCACTGACCAGGCTCAGCGGAGGCGCGGCTTGTAGAGGCCGACTCGAGGCTGTTGTCCGAGTCGATCGCCGACCTTGAAGAGCTGACGGTTCTCGGCCGTCGGCCTGGCCGGCCCCTGCCGCGGCCGCGGGGTCGTTTCGCCGCCGGAGCGGTAGTGTCCGCCTCCTCTCTCTCCGCACTACGCCGCCGCCTGCCGCGACCTCCGGCCCGACCGCGACCGGACGACCGGGGCGGCTCGTCGCCACCGTCAGCGGCGCCGGACGTCACACTGTCAGTGGCGTCATCGGCACCGGCGGAGGCCGGGGCCGGACCGTCACTCGGCGAGGAGTTCTGCTTTCTCTCCTCTTCCAGGGAGCGCTGAACGAAATCCCGAAACACGTCCTCGTAGGTCAACTGCGACTGTGACGGCAACATATTGCTGTAACAAAGAAAAGTGAGGTTAGTCGTTCTGTTCAAGCATGTGCTTCAAATGCAAACAATTCAATGGTTTGGTCACTGTTCACTGTAAAAAAAAAGTTTAGAGAAACCTGCTTGTTGGTGCCTCAATTTGGATTTTTTGTAGTCTAGGTATATGGGGTAAGTGGTAACAGAGTCAATGTCACATAAATTCCTGGCGATACTGGTCCCAGGCCTGTAGATGGGAGTGGAAGAGTTCAGCACCACTATAGCCAGAGAAAGTTGTTGATTTGTTTATTTGTCATGATCACATCATGAGTCAGATCACTATGATTAAGTCAGATTCAGGGTCAGAAGTCAGAACAGGGCACTGCGGATTATGGGTGATGGTGAACAGAAGCTGAAGTGCCAGAAACATGTTTTTGACCAAGCCGAAATGCTTGGACATGTTACCTGATGCGGGACCTTCCTACTAGCAAGCATGTGTGCACGCAATATAGCTGCTCGGTGCTTGGGGAGTATTTTGTTACAAATGGTGAAAACCTTGAGACCCATAAGTCGATCATCCTGGTCAGAGGGAAGTCCAGGGGACAGACTCAGAGGGTCAGACTCAGCGAGGCTTGTCAGACACGCCACTGTGAGCAGCCGCGCGGAGGGTCTCATTGTGTTCAACTCGCCAAGACGCATCGAATGATATACATGATGACCTCGAGGTCACGTGACCTGAGGTCAACCTTTGACCTTGAACTTTCGAGGTCAACATATATATGATTCGATGCGGATTGACGAGAGGATCACGATGGTACCATGTAGTTCCTAGCTTGGCTACTTCGAAAAATATTCGAGAAAAAAACTCCACTTTGTAGGAGTTCCCTACAGCCGCGCACACCTGCTGCGCATGTGTCGGTGCGCCATTGCTTATGTATACTCGTATATCCGCGCACACACGCTGCGCATGTCTCACGTTACTAGATAGACCATCTAGCGCATGCGCGTAGTTTTAGTATACCGTCTAACGTCCGTGTGTGCTGTACATTTGTAAAATCTGAAATTTGTAAATACACACTCTTCAACTCACCGGCGCCAAGGCTTTGGAGGAAGACGGAAGACGAGGAAGCGAGGGCGACATGAAGAGCCCAGGTGGCTGACGAGTGCTCGGAAAGGAACACGTTTCCCGATCACCACGATCGGATGACTGTAAACTGGGACGACCGTCTCCCTCAGTTTACAACTTCTAGCGCCGCCATTTTGACTTTTTGACCCCTGTGACGTCATCTTTGACCTGACCTGAAATGACCTTGGTAACAATTGAAGACCTTGTCCGTGCGTATCCCATGCCGTTTACCGCTTGTCGCTATCTTGCTTCGTTCTCGAGATCTCAGGGTGGGGGCGGTCAACCGCCCCCTCCCCATCGTTTGTAAGTTGGCGCGGCCCCCGTCGGTGCGCGGGTTTATTATTTTTGACGCCCTTTCAAATGCCGCTTACCTCGTGTCGCTAGGTGGCCTACGAGCCGACTTGGACCGGGGAACGCGAAAACGCCCTCCTCCCCCCCCCCCCCCCCCCCCCCCCAGCACAGCATGGAAATCTCAGACCACCAGTACCGTGGGCAAGGGTTAAATTATTTTCCATGGACCCTGCGGATTGGCCGGACAGATTCTCCGTTTCTTACTTCCTTTCTCTCCTGTCCTCTGAAGACGAGTTTCTTCTAGCATCTTCATCTGATGACTTTATAGCGCCTTCAACAGCATCGTTTCTGTTTTTCAACAGACCACGGGCTGCCAGTGGGTGTTGCCTGTCGATGTAAAACATCGACTTTAACAATGGTTTAATAAAGATTCAGAAGTTCAACTAGTTCTTAATATACACTGGCGGACACCTACCCCTTAAAGCAATAATTTACATTGTAAAAAAAAAAATGGAGAAGCTTCATTGTGGGTATGCCAAACCGCGGCGTCCCAAGACCGCCTTACTGGCTTCACCAGCGTTCGTTGCATGGCTTATTTGGCAGGCAACTGTTATGTATGCTTTCAAAATCAAAACAAACAGAAACTTCATTGTTATTTAATAATAAAAAAAACATCCATTAACTTGAGTGAATTTCCAATATTTTCATTTCAACACTCATATTACTCCACTCAAACACACTTTAATTATTTCAGTGTGATTAATAACATCCTATGCTAGATTCAATTATGATGTTTTATGGAATCTTTACAATGCAACTCACACTTTGGAGACTCTGTTTGGTATGTTCTGACTGGGGATAGCACCCATCTTCAGCCGTCTGTTTTTGTTCATCTGTGGATCTTGGTCTGGATTTAGAAGTTCAAATTTAATGTCTCTGTCATAATCGTCAGGCCTAAAATGAAGTGAGCACACGCCAGAGTTCTTAACGTTAACTTGGCCACCTCTGTTGCACACAGCAAGCCACTGACCAGCCTGCTCTTCACTGGTTGCCGTGTGGATCCTGATACCTTGATGTCCAGCCTGAGACTTGCACCCAGGAACCAAACAATATCGCCCCATATCGCTCCCTAGACGTCTTTATCTTCATAAGCTGTTGTAAAGCAAAATTTATTTGTTAACTTAAAAAAAAGAATACCTAACAACGTGTTACACAAACACAAGAACAAGTCAACAGTTCCTATAAACATTTCAACAGAATATGTCCTTTTTTAGCCAAATGTGCAGCTTATGCACTTTTCTCAGTTATGTTTCCTACCGCTATACCCTCACTATCTTGTGCTAGAGTTATTTTGCTATTAAAAGGCACAGGTATTGGAAGTCAATCTACAAAATTACATGAAACGGCTAAAAAATAATCATCTAGAAAAGTTGATCTAGATTGTTAAATAATGAACTGAAAAAACTATTTTCTAGTATAGTTGTAAATGTTGTTGCTTAGCTGGGACATAACAAGTCTATTTAGGTAGGTATAAACCGTTTTTCTGACACCAGCTTTATTGTTTCAATGAAAGCTTTCAAGAGCACTTCGGCTCACTTCTTAAGCCAACTCACTTAAAAGAACTAAAAATCAGTAAAACAGAAAATCAAGAAGTCGTTCGATTCTCGGCCAAGTTCGAGGTAACGCGACTTTGATGTCGAATCGAACGACATCTCGACAATGCTTTGTTTCACTATCATTTAGTGCGTTTACGTGACTTCCACCCTCCGGAATAACACCGGGACGCTGGAGAAGAGTGACGACGCCAAGGCAACAATCCTGAACAACTTCTTTGGCTCCGTCTTCACTGTTCACGCAGGAGAAGCTTTCTGAAGTCAAAGTACCTGTCCTAAACGCTCGAGGGCCGACGCAGGAGCTCACTGACATCCCGTAACATCAGCAGCGGTACAAAGAAAGCTACTCACCCTGAACGTTGCTTGTGCACCGGGACCGGACAACTTACAACAGTGTTCTGCGGGAGACGAACGATGCTATTAGTATTCCACTCAGGCACGTACCCAGAATTTCGCCCAGGAGGGGGCCACCTGCCTCCGAAGGGGCCCTTAGGTCACCCGGGGCCCCCAGGCCGCCCAGGCGACCAGGGGCCCTCAGGCAACCAGGGGCCCCCATGCGACCAGGCCCCCGCTACCAGGGGCCCCTTGGCGACTAGGGGCCCAGGCGATCAGGGGCCCCATGCGACCAGAGGCCCCCATGCGACCAGGCCCCCGGCTACCAGGGCCCCCTAGGCGACTAGGGACCCCAGGCAATCCGGAGCCCCCATGCGACCAGGCCCCGGCTACCAGGGGCCCCCTAGGCGACCAGGGGCCCAGGAAACCGGGGGCCCTCGGATGACTGCAGGGGCCCATCGGGTCATCAGGGGCCCCTCGGGTAACCAGGGGCACATAAATGAAACTTTGATATCATTTTTTCTTCCTAGTAAAAGACGTTTTATCCAGTGTTTGAAAAAATATACCGGGGCCTGAGGGGCCCCCCCCCTTGGGTACGTCACTGATTCCACTGGCCGCTCTCTACCGACAGTCGCTCTGAGCGACTGTCGACTCGCTCGACTTGAGCGACTCGCTCAACACCGGCAAGATACCAAGTGCTTAGACACTTGGCAAGATTGCATTTGCAACCATCTTTAAGAAAGGAGACAAGCAACTGCTCAGCAACTACAGAACCGTGAGCCTGACTTCCACAGCATGTAGGTATGTAAGGTGTTTCGAGTCACTGATCCGCGGTGAAGCGCATCGGCACTTGTCAGACGCCCGACTACTCTCTTACAGTCAATATGGGTTTCGTCATAAGCGCTCATGCAGTTCTCAGCTGATCAAGACCCTGGACGACTTGAGTATTGCAGTTGAAGCTCGCCGCAGTATCGATGTGATATCCATAGTACTAGTAGGACTTCCAGAAGGCTTTTGACTCGGTCCCACATCAATAACTGCTGAACAAACTCCGCTGCAACGGCGTCAGAGGTAAACTACTGAAGTGGAATAAGTCACTTTTATCATATCATAGCCAGCAAGCGGCCGTAAACGGAAAACTGTTTGAGTCGAGGCAGGTAGCTAGTGGAGTTCCCCTTGTCCCACATGGGACCCAGTTGGAGCCATAAGACAAAACCCCCTGGCAACCACATGGGCTGCCCATATGGGACCTATATGGGACCCACTTGGGTGTGCAGGCTGGAGAGCAGCACGTGCTCCAGCACATCAGCCTCTTGTGCGGGCACCGCTTGTACGGGCACTGCTGGCACGACGCGGAAGGGAGACGGCCGATTCGGTGCACGTACTGCAGCGAGCGGCCCCAGTGCAGTGGCCTGCCCTCATATGGACTCTGGTGCACCGACACGGCGCCCTCTCGCTCTCTCCTGGGATGGGGACGGGGAGCGGCAAAGTGCTCCCGAAGAGTGGCTTGAATAGTAACTCGGACCAGTTGTCGCGCTATATTGACGCGAGGAGCATAGTGAACCGGCCGAGTTAGCGAGCGGGCATCCGAGGACAGGGCGGTTGCTTGTTTCGCCGGGTTGTCCGCTCTCTCGTTCCCCTCTATCCCCCAGCGGGCAGGAACCCACTGCAGGATTACTTCACGACACCTGGCGACGTTCAAGAAGGTCTTCCATACCTATCTCCGAACCGAGGGTGGAGGCCTCACATGGGCGGCCACTCCTCCGCTGAGTAGACTCAGGGCGTCTCGCCAATTCGAGCACATGATGACCGGGGCGGGGACGTCTCGTCCTGAAACCTCTCCAGAGCCACCCACAGGGCGAATCTGCTGCTAGATTGACCAGCCTGCCGACTAAATTCGGTGGCGGTCTTTCACCAAAAAATTATGCGGCTGCCCTGTGCCTAAAAATTGTTGGTTAATTAAGCATCATCTCCGGTGGGCCAAGTGCTAACCGGAACTCTCACGCTGTTCCAAGCAGTCAGGCAGCGGTAATGCCACATGCATTGCCCGGGAATCGAACCCGAATAGCTGAATCTAGAGACAAGGAACTTACCCCTAGACCAGAATGCTCCCCTGCCGAAAAATTCAGCCGCCGCCAAGAGTTGAATTCAGTGCATGCGAATTGCGAAGTTACGCCGGAACCGGAAGTGCGCTGAAATTGTTGGTGCAATCCCTCCGCTATGCCGGACATATTCGGCATAACGTGTATTTTTCCAGTCTGGTTCCATTCCAGTCTGGCTGTAAGGTAAGGTAAGTAAGGTAAGGTGAGGTAAGGTAAGTGAAGTAAGGTGACTTGTTTGGTTAAGGCCTGAAGATAAAGAAGAAAGCCAAAATGCTCTGGAAAGCTTCCATTGAAACAATAAAGCTCGTCTCAGAAACCCATTTGTTTTATTCACATTTTTAATAGGCATCTATCTATATTTGGTACGTAGGTACCGACAAAAAATCATGCAACCTTGTTTTGAGTGCCTTGGTTCCCAGTCATGTAACCGAGTGGCAGTCTCAACGTTAAAATCAATTTTTAAAATGCCTTACCCGACGGTGTATATAATTTTAAAATCCTCTCAGCCCCTCAGGCCTCACTTCGTTTCAGTTTCAGTTTGAGCTTGAGCTCCTTGTCCTCGTGAAAATATATTTTTCAAATACGGCGCAATAATAAATGAAAGTGGGTTGTGTTCGAAAAGCTTTCGGTAGAAGCGATTGCTGTGTTCAGCTGTACTGCTGAAGCATTTTGTCGAATGGAATCGCTGATAAAACGAAACGTCTCTCAAGTTGTCATGACAACGAAGGAATTCAAGGACAACTTGAATACGTCTCGTGGGTAATGGGAGAGAATTCATGTAACGGAAGTTAGCCCACATTCAGCCCACATTCGGCCCAGCCCAGATTGGGGCTGCCAAATCTAGGGAAAAATCTAGAAATCTAGGGAAAAATCTAAAAACCGTTTTACGCCCAAAACGGCTGGAGGAAACTGAAAAATAAGACCACCATTTGAAAGATCTCTTCACCCCGGACCTAATGATATGGTTAAATACCGGATCGATTTAACCAAAAGCATGATTTAACCAGGATAAAAATTTTCGGCCCCTACGATTTTCTTCAAAATCGGCAAGGTGATACTACAGGCCCAGATGACCAATCTGGCTGAAGAAACCCCTATGGGCATTGAAATCTATGGGGTAAAACACCCTTGGAAAGTTTTACCCACGCATTTCTGGCAAGACTATCGCACGCATCCCCCCAATATGGGTATCATATGAAAGCCCATGAAAACCCAAACAAAATGGTGGGGTAAATTTTACCCATTACCCCATCCAGGGTAAAACTTACCCAAGATGAAAATTTTCGGTCAATGGGGCGGCCCCTACGATTTTCTTCAAAATCGGCATGACGATTTTCTTCAAAATCGGCATGGTGATACTACAGGCCCAGATGACCAATCTGGCTGAAGAAACCCCTATGGGCATTGAAATCTATGGGGTAAAAACGCCCTTGGAAAGTTTTACCCACGCATTTCTGGCAAGACTATCGCACGCATCCCCCCAATATGGGTATCATATGAAAGCCCATGAAAACCCAAACAAAATGGTGGGGTAAAATTTACCCATTACCCTATCCAGGGTAAAACTTACCCAAGATGAAAATTTTCGGTCAATGGGGCGGCCCCTACGATTTTCTTCCAAATCGGCATTGGGATACTACAGGCCCAGATGACCAATCTGGCTGAAGAAACCCCTATGGGCATTGAAATCTATGGGGTAAAAACGCCCTTGGAAAGTTTTACCCACGCATTTCTGGCAAGACTATCGCACGCATCCCCCCAATATGGGTATTATAGGAAAGCCCATGAAAACCCAAACAAAATGGTGGGGTAAAATTTACCCATTACCCTATCCAGGGTAAAGTTTACCCAAGATGAAAATTTTCGGTCAATGGGGCGGCCCCTACGATTTTCTTCAAAATCGGCATGGTGATACTACAGGCCCAGATGACTAATCTGGCTGAAGAAACCCCTATGGGCATTGAAATCCATGGGGTAAAAACGCCCTTGGAAAGTTTTACCCACGCATTTCTGGCAAGACTATCGCACGCATCCCCCCAATATGGGTATCATATGAAAGCCCATGAAAACCCAAACAAAATGGTGGGGTAAAATTTACCCATTACCCCATCCAGGGTAAAGTTTACCCAAGATGAAAATTTTCGGTCAATGGGGCGGCCCCTACGATTTTCTTCAAAATCGGCATGGTGATACTACAGGCACAGATGACCAATCTGGCTGAAGAAACCCCTATGGGCATTGAAATATATGGGGTAAAAACGCCCTTGGAAAGTTTTACCCACGCATTTCTGGCAAGACTATCGCACGCATCCCCCCAATATGGGTATCATATGAAAGCCCATGAAAACCCAAACAAAATGGTGGGGTAAAATTTACCCATTACCCCATCCAGGGTAAAACTTACCCAAGATGAAAATTTTCGGTCAATGGGGCGGCCCCTACGATTTTCTTCAAAATCGGCATGGTGATACTACAGGCCCAGATGACCAATCTGGCTGAAGAAACCCCTATGGGCATTGAAATCTATGGGGTAAAAACGCCCTTGGAAAGTTTTACCCACGCATTTCTGGCAAGACTATCGCACGCATCCCCCCAATATGGGTATCATATGAAAGCCCATGAAAACCCAAACAAAATGGTGGGGTAAAATTTACCCATTTCCCTATCCAGGGTAAAACTTACCCAAGATGAAAATTTTCGGTCAATGGGGCGGCCCCTACGATTTTCTTCAAAATCGGCATGGGGATACTACAGGCCCAGATGACCAATCTGGCTGAAGAAACCCCTATGGGCATTGAAATCTATGGGGTAAAAACGCCCTTGGAAAGTTTTACCCACGCATTTCTGGCAAGACTATCACACGCATCCCCCCAATATGGGTATCATAGGAAAGCCCATGAAAACCCAAACAAAATGGTGGGGTAAAATTTACCCATTACCCTATCCAGGGTAAAGTTTACCCAAGATGAAAATTTTCGGTCAATGGGGCGGCCCCTACGATTTTCTTCAAAATCGGCATGGTGATACTACAGGCCCAGATGACTAATCTGGCTGAAGAAACCCCTATGGGCATTGAAATCCATGGGGTAAAAACGCCCTTGGAAAGTTTTACACACGCATTTCTGGCAAGACTATCGCACGCATCCCCCCAATATGGGTATCATATGAAAGCCCATGAAAACCCAAACAAAATGGTGGGGTAAAATTTACCCATTACCCTATCCAGGGTAAAACTTACCCAAGATGAAAATTTTCGGTCAATGGGGCGGCCCCTACGATTTTCTTCAAAATCGGCATGGGGATACTTCAGGCCCAGATGACCAATCTGGCTGAAGAAACCCCTATGGGCATTGAAATCTATGGGGTAAAAACGCCCTTGGAAAGTTTTACCCACGCATTTCTGGCAAGACTATCGCACGCATCCCCCCAATATGGGTATCATATGAAAGCCCATGAAAACCCAAACAAAATGGTGGGGTAAAATTTACCCATTACCCCATCCAGGGTAAAGTTTACCCAAGATGAAAATTTTCGGTCAATGGGGCGGCCCCTACGATTTTCTTCAAAATCGGCATGGTGATACTACAGGCCCAGATGACTAATCTGGCTGAAGAAACCCCTATTGGCATTGAAATCTATGGGGTAAAAACGCCCTTGGAAAGTTTTACCCACGCATATCTGGCAAGACTATCGCACGCATCCCCCCAATATGGGTATAATATGAAATCCCATGAAAACCCAAACAAAATGGTGGTGTAAAATTTACTCATTACCCCATCCAGGGTGAAGTTTACCCAAGATGAAAATTTTCGGTCAAAAAATTTTCATATGATACCCATATTGGGGGATGCGTGCGATAGTCTTGCCAGAAATGCGTGGTTAAAACTTTCCAAGGGCGTTTTTACCCCATAGATTTCAATGCCCATAGGGGTTTCTTCAGCCAGATTAGTCATCTGGGCCTGTAGTATCACCATGCCGATTTTGAAGAAAATCGTAGGGGCCGCCCCATTGACCGAAAATTTTCATCTTGGGTAAACTTTACCCTAGATGGGGTAATGGGTAAATTTTACCCCACCATTTTGTTTGGGTTTTCATGGGCTTTCATATGATACCCATATTGGGGGGGATGCGTGCGATAGTCTTGCCAGAAATGCGTGGGTAAAACTTTCCAAGGGCGTTTTTACCCCATAGATTTCAATGCCCATAGGGGTTTCTTCAGCCAGATTAGTCATCTGGGCCTGTAGTATCACCATGCCGATTTTGAAGAAAATCGTAGGGGCCGCCCCATTGACCGAAAATTTTCATCTTGGGTAAACTTTACCCTGTATGGGGTAATGGGTAAATTTTACCCCACCATTTTGTTTGGGTTTTCATGGGCTTTCATATGATACCCATATTGGGGGGATGCGTGCGATAGTCTTGCCAGAAATGAGTGGGTAAAACTTTCCAAGGGCGTTTTTACCCTATAGATTTCAATGCCCATAGGGGTTTCTTCAGCCAGATTAGTCATCTGGGCCTGTAGTATCACCATGCCGATTTTGAAGAAAATCGTAGGGGCCGCCCTATTGACCAAAAATTTTCATCTTGGGTAAACTTTACCCTGGATGGGGTAATGGGTAAATTTTACCCCACCATTTTGTTTGGGTTTTCATGGGCTTTCATATGATACCCATATTGGGGGGATGCGTGCGATAGTCTTGCCAGAAATGCGTGGGTAAAACTTTCCAAGGGCGTGTTTACCCCATAGATTTCAATGCCCATAGGGGTTTCTTCAGCCAGATTAGTCATCTGGGCCTGTAGTATCACCATGCCGATTTTGAAGAAAATCGTAGGGGCCGCCCCATTGACCGAAAATTTTCATCTTGGGTAAACTTTACCCTGGATGGGGTAATGGGTAAATTTTACCCCACAATTTTGTTTGGGTTTTCATGGGCTTTCATATGATACCCATATTGGGGGATGCGTGCGATAGTCTTGCCAGAAATGCGTGGGTAAAACTTTCCAAGGGCATTTTTACCCCATAGATTTCAATGCCCATAGGGGTTTCTTCAGCCAGATTAGTCATCTGGGCCTGTAGTATCACCATGCCGATTTTGAAGAAAATCGTAGGGGCCGCCCCATTGACCGAAAATTTTCATCTTGGGTAAACTTTACCCTGGATGCGGTAATGGGTAAATTTTACCCCACCATTTTGTTTGGGTTTTCATGGGCTTTCATATGATACCCATATTGGGGGATGCGTGCGATAGTCTTGCCAGAAATGCGTGGGTAAAACTCTCCAAGGAAGTTTTTACCCCATAGATTTCAATGCCCATAGGGGTTTCTTCAGCCAGATTAGTCATCTGGGCCTGTAGTATCACCATGCCGATTTTGAAGAAAATCGTAGGGGCCGCCCCATTTACCGAAAATTTTCATCTTGGGTAAACTTTACCCTGGATGGGGTAATGGGTAAATTTTACCCCACCATTTTGTTTGGGTTTTCATGGGCTTTCATATGATACCCATATTGGGGGATGCGTGCGATAGTCTTGCCAGAAATGCGTGGGTAAAACTCTCCAAGGGCGTTTTTACCCCATAGATTTCAATGCCCATAGGGGTTTCTTCAGCCAGATTAGTCAT